TGGAGGTTGTGGCCGAAACCCCAGCTGACAATGTCCTTCGCGTAGCATCCACATGTCAATACTAAAGCACCGGGAAAAGCTCCCGGACGAGAGCCCTGTTCCCCGAGCCGCCAGTGGGAACGGAGACAGCAAAAGTGCGCGCGCTGCAGAGGAAGGAAATGGCAGTGTGGAATACTGCGAACTAGGGCCCCTGTCTGGGTTGCGTGGGTTGCGAATTGCGGGTTGGACATAGTCTGCGCTTTGCGCTCCATTGCCAAGCTTTTCGGGCTTTGGTTGAGCAGGGCTCCATCTGAGGTGAGGTGTGCGGACGGGGTGTCGGTCTGAAGCCAGAGGAGGGACGACAGATGGATGGATGCGCTCACACTAAGACTACGAGGTCAGGTAGTTAAAACAGATGCCGCAATGCAGGTAAGACTCAATGACATTGTGTTGGGAGTGAGGCATGCGAGTTGTTAACTAAGACGGAGCCTAAGCCGTCCGCCTGCTGTTACATTCCGTTGCCACATGCCAAATCTTGACAAGCCTTGCATTCCGACAAGACAAGGCAAGGCCAGCACGGGCAGCGTGCTTAAGGTTTGATGTCACCCTACAGGTCCCTTAGCATCAACCCGACTTGTTGAATTTTTTTCTGGTTTTTTTTTTTTTTTCCTTCTCCCTCTCAGTGCCGTGAGCGACACTCTAAGAAACTTCGCAAGTGCCTTATTAAGTACTGCCACTAAGGTGCTGACCTAAGGTCAGAAGGACAGCACCTCGTCCGCAGGATGCACAGTGCTCAGGGGAAGGAAGGCATCACATAGATTCGACCCATAGATCGGAGAGCCGCCTGCTCGCTTAACTTTTCCCAGTATCCGCAAACTTTTTCAGATGCTCAAGGAAGCCCAGCTGGACGCAGTATGTCTACTATGTATAGGCAATTACGGGGTGGTGCCTCGTCTTAGTTGCAATCTACCTGGCGTGCCTTACTTTCTTGTGGCTTCCATTGGTGTTATTCTACTCACAACTGCAGGTGCAACAATCCGAACCTTCCTTCCAATGTGCGGACAAAGTTGCCGACGTTCCTTCCAAGATCCGGTGCAGGTGGAAAATCAGGTAGGTAAGGTAAGGTAGGCAAGGTAGGTAGGTACCTTAGGTTAAGTGATGTATAGACAGACAGGGTACGTATTTGGACAACTTTTGCAAGGCAACAGCTTTGGAGACTTCCACGGCTTAGTCTTGCCGCATCGCTCGCATCCTTTCCAATCTACAACAAGTCTACTTTCTTTTCCCACCTGACGCCCAGTCCCCATCTTCATGCCACATCTCCACGTCCCATCGCCTCTGTCCCATCTCGGATCCGATCCTCATCAACGGCAAACCATCGGTTGTCTCAGCGCGGAGATGGAGGGGTATTCCTCTCTGTCAAGCAAACGCCGCCGCACTGTTAGTGCACGTTGATGCCCTGACAGGCGGCGCCATGAGGCAGCATTTTCCCTGCAAACCAATGCAAATTATCCAAAAACTGCACCGTCTTCCGGCTCTTCAATGCAACTCCACCCCGGCAGAACCACGGCGTCGACCGAGCCACTGCGACACTGTGGATGGGCTTTGCTCTCCCGAGGCCCAAGACAGTAACCAGAGAGCCGACAAACTTGCAACAATCGCACCATGAAGCCGTCGCCTTCGTGCCAGAGCCGTCTGCTTCAGATTTCCCGCCACTGGAACGGATGCCTCTCTTCCACACTCAACCGTCGGCGGCAAAACTGTAAAAAGCCGCCCACGAAACACTGGTCCAATGTTCTCCAAGAACACGTTTTTCGACATGGCGTGCTTCAGGAAACATAATGGACGGGCGGGCGAATCGGACGCGGGAGCACGGAAAGGGACCGACGGGCCAGCAAGACGGATGAGGAGCACCTCGTCCGTCTCCAGCCACGCGGATCATGGGATGGACGACAACGCTAATCGAGTGAGCGTCGGCGCGGACGCTAGCAATTGTCGCTACGCACCACACGCAACCCACGACTTACACCACTGGCACTGTCTCTTTCTCTCTCTCCAGGACCCCCTATGCCATCTTCCCTGGTTTAGCGTCTGCGCCACTGCAGCCGACGGCTGACTGGTGGAGCGTCATTGAGCCCGAACCACACGTCTCGTTCTTTGATTGTTTAGTCTTGTCTTGTCTCGCAAGTCGATCTTCAGCCCAAGACTCTGAGAGGCTGCCAAACCCGCCGCCAAGACGAGCATTCTGCCGGCAGGCATTGGCCCTGGATTGAAGTTGATCCTGGTCATGATGCCACAGTGTCAGCCCGCCAGCCAGCCAGCTTCCTCCCTTTTTCTAGCGTTGCGCCAGAATCTGCGCCTCGGCCGCTCTCGTGAAATTGAACTTGCTCACCAGAGCGAAGAGAGCCATCCGGCCCTCAGCCCTGTTCGCTGTATGGCTACAATTACGAGAGTCAAATCACCGTCTCTCTTTCGACCTCAGCACACATACCAAAGCCTAAGACCAATGCGGTCCTTTCCCAGCCCAGACACATCGGCAATCCTCGGTGCGGAACTCCATCTCTTGAGCCCTGTCGTATGCCTTATGCTGCGCTGCATTGTAATGCACTGCAATGTCTGCACCCCGATGCAAGTCGCTGCGTTGCCGGCTGCAGTCCACGACAGGTCCGGTCCAGATCTTCGCAGCCCTCTGTACCGTCACAGTGTACCCAGGGGAATGGGATCGACCTAATGAAGACATGCCGGACGCGTCTTATTAGCCTCTCCTATCGCTGCAGGGGACTGGCAACCTTGTCTCCTCGAGCCCACCAGGACGTTGCAAGAGCTACTCTACTTTGGCCGCCTCCCAAGACAGGCAGGTAAGTACTTTTGCGCCACTGGCGCTCACGCCAAACGCCCGAGTACCTCTTCTCTGACATTGCCGTTGTTTGTCGACATCACTGACCACTCTCGTTTACAGGAAACGACACGATTCGACGAACGATTCGGAGACGACAAGTCCCTTGTCGAAGCTCAAACTCTGGCCGCGGGGTCTCCATCTGAAAGTTCTTCGCCGGGATACTCCTACATGCAGCAGCCACACTCAGCGACAACACAGGTATTCGTACGGGCACCCATTGTATGGTGGACGGAGTACCTCCCATGTCACTCTGAGATTGGCGTGACGGGATGTCCAGCGCGCAACCCCGCGCCGAGATCCACAACCTCTCTTGGAATGAACCAACAACCGGCGAACCGTTCTCGTTATTTCCTTTTCTCGCCCGGCACTCCGAGCCTATCTCGTTACGTCCAATTCGCCATCTGGGCTCACTCTCTGTGGATCACAGCAAGGGATTTCTGACCCTCAGCATGCATCCTTCGAGCTCCAACAGCAAAAACCACGAGAAATGGCACGAAGTGTACCCTCATCGCTGCCGGGACCGTCTTTCTTCCTCGTGTTCTCGATGAGCCCTGGGCTTGGCACGTGGGCTCTGGATTGTTGTTCCCAGGCATTGAGATAGGTCAGCAACGTCCAAGTCGAAGAGCCAACAGCAAACGCAGCGCCAACCAGCATCATCCTTTTACCGCAAAAACCATCTCATCTCTCATCCGACCTCTTCAGCACAAAGGATCGATGCCGTCATCTCGTTCCCCTTTGCAACGTCAACACCAAATATTGGCCTTTTTCAGAACCTGGACCATGCCTCACACGTTTTCGCCTCTCGCAGCCTCCCCGTCTTATCCTTCCCGTCCCCAAAAGATCAAGGGTGCCCCAGCTCAATGAACCCCCCTTACCAGCTCCATGCCATCCCTGACCAGCCCTCCCAGGGCGTCTACTATGTACCGGGAGCTCCTCCCTTCGCGGCTTCTCTTGTTCGCTCCCCATGCCACCCCTCTGCTGCATCTAATCCCCGTTACTCTGTTGGACCCCTGTCAGCATGCAACCAGGATTCCCTCATCGAGCATAACTAGACCCAGCTGCCCCATTTTACCATCGCTGTGCCTTATTACGCTGCGACGCTGGCCAGAGGCCCTATCCGTCAGACTAATGCCTCGAGGGAATGCGAATTGTGCCTCCGAAATACGTAGAGGAGGTACGCGGTAACTCGTCTCTTCCCCCCCTCGCAACCGTCGACAAGGCCACTGGTACACGCCATGCCGTCGGTGCCGATGAGGCGCTAGGCCGGACTAGCTGCCTCCTCACCCCCTCGTCCTAACCAAGCAGGCGAGACGGCGGAGACGCAGTCGAGGGCCATGGAAGATGCACCGCACGTGTATGCGCCTAGAACGAACGGTACTTCCTACCCGTCGTGTACACTTGCAGCACTCTATCGGTGCCCCTTCCGGCTCCCTTCCCCAATCTAACGAGCCAAGCCAATCCAGTCTGTTGGTCCTCATCCTTAGTGTCTCCTTTTGGCCCCTCGGTGTATCTCTCTCGCAGCCCGCTACCCTGAGTGTAGCCGAACGGGGGTAGCAGGCCAACTACCCTATGGCCAAGTATACTTATGATGTGGATAGGATATGCGATCCATACTTGGAGGCGCTCTCCGCGCATGCCCTGCCTAGCTACCTTGCTCTTCCCGAGTCTCAAAAGCCACCCGTCTCCATCGTACCCTTCTCTCTCACACCTCAGGTTCTTTCTCTCTTTCTTCGTTCCAATCTTCCTGTCTCTGTTTGTTGGCATAGCCAGGAAAGAAGGAGGGAAGGAAACGAGCAACAGAACAGTCCGCCATAGCGAAGCAAGCATCAAGTATAACGACATTCAGTTCTCTCGTTCACACCTCGCTGATCGAACTCGCGGGTTCCGAAGCCGCCCTATCTCAACTCACCCCCCGGCCGTGGCCTACGAACTTTAATATCAAAGCCGTCTGCAGCCCAGATCTTCTGAACAGCTGAATCTTTCGACCAACTTCTCAAGCTTTCGTCCACATACTATCCTACCGGTTAACGGCCCAAACCTTGACGACCTTGGGAACGACGACAATCGTAAGAGGTTCCAAGCCGGAAATGCTCAACGGCTACAACGTCAACTCGCATTTTCAATGGGTATTTTAACTCTGGAACCCCACCCCCGTTTGGCCGCCCCAGATTCTCCTCCCGGGCTGGTTAGCCCATCTTCATCATCCTACTCCTCCAGACCGTCTCCTCCTGCAGAGAAGCTTTGGAACGCCAAATTCGGACCAGTATCTCCTCCAATGTCGAACTATGAACAAAGCCCGGCCGCCGACATGGCAAACAAGAGCATGGCAGAGCTCCCGAGCCGCAGAGATTCATCACAAAGCGGTCCTCGCCTGTCACTCCCCCCACTGAGCAGCATCCTTGGGCCTGCGGCCGGGCCGTTGCACTCTCCGTTGTCTGACAGGCCTACCGGGTATCCAGCTACATCTCCTCTGGATCGGCCGCGTCTCCCTCCATCTCATGGCGATCGTCCGTACGGGGGTTCCTACTTCCCACCGCAGTCTTCTCCGGCAATCTCTCAGCCGAGGAGCACTTATGACAACAGATACGATCATGACCGGCAGGCGTTGCGAGGCTTGTCTCAATCTAACTCAGGGCCGGGGTCGCCTCGTTATCGCGAGACGGAGCACATGCGTCAGGATTCCAGAACCGACGTTGGGTTGGGAGGCAGGTGGTCGATACATCAAGAAACAGGCAGACACGAGTACTCTTTGGTGTCAAGAGAAGCATCTCAACCACAGCTTCCGGGTCCCTACGACAGACCGTCGTACCAGTATCCTCCATCCAAGGACTCTGGGCTTTCTTACCGAGACCAACGACCTCCGTCAGGATCAGGTCCGATGCAGTCACAACCCCTTACAAGTGCCGCGAACTCGGACGGAATTCCTTCGAAGGATGGTCTTGGGCCCAAGATTTGGACCGGAACACACTTCTTGCCGCGTTTTGTGCGGGCTGCCGAAGTTCCAGGTGAAGGCTTGTGTTTCTTCTACGACGACGGGAGCCACTGCAAGACCATCATCGACGGCGAGCAAGTCAATGCACACTGGGGTGTAACAAAGGCAGGGAAGCCGAGGAAGCGGCTCGCGATCGCGTGTGTTACGTGCAGAGAGAAGAAGATCAAGTGCGATCCCGACTTCCCTCGGTGCGTCCAGTGCGAGAAGTTTGGCCGGGTTTGCAAGTTCAAGAACGCGTAAGTGGTGAACCGCCGAGTCGCCTCAAGTGGGCGGTCCGTTCCTATACGTGCTTTGCTAATTAGAACTATATCAGACCTCGAGGTGGCCACAACACGTCTCCGTCGACAGCTGCGGCCGAGCCAGAAGATGTCCGGCGAATGGGAGGTCCTGCCAGTGAGATGCACCGACCTGGTAGCAACTCCAGCGCATCGGTTTCTCCCCGGACGACCTTGCGCCAGCCTAGTCCAGAGCCTCCAATGTCTCACAAGAGGATGAGGTTGGACTTTGATTCATACCCGTCCATGGCAAGCGAGCCGCCGTCGCTGAATCGCACCCCCGAGGCGCCCAGGGCAAGCCTCTCCTGGCAGCATCGCCAGCCTTATGAGCTTCCTCCCATCCAAGACCACCTGCTCAACCGAGCATGGCAATCAGATCCGTATGTGTCCGACCCTGAATCAATTAGCACCTCAATCTCCTCCTTCTTCGTACACACCGACAGCACCATGGCCCTTCGTTTTTTGCCCGAGACAGCGTTCAAATCCTGGGTGACCGGTAATGCTTATATCAAGTCTCCAGGAGACCTGATGCTCATCTATAGCATCCTCGCCGTCGGCGTGGCCTTGTCAGGAGGACCCAAGAACATGGCCAACGAATACGCCCAGATCGCCCACTACGCGCAGCACCGAGCTGCTTGCAGCCTTCAGCTCGCGCAGGCTCGTCTGCTTCTTGCGCTGTACTACCTGTCACTCTCTAGGCTGAACGATGCGAACGAGTTGATCAGCGGAGCCATATCAGCATCGATCGATCTGCAGCTAAACCTCGAACTTGAAAAGTCGATCGAGGCGGACCTGACAGACTTCCCTTATGGCTTGCAAAGAGATGGATATTCAGAGAGCCGAAGACGAACTTATTGGGCATGCTTCGTGCTGGAACGACTCAGCGGCGTGTTTCCCAATCGGCTGAGCATTCTGAACGTCAAAGACATCTTCATCCGACTTCCATGCGAAAATGAACTGTTCGAACGCCAAGAAGAATCCGACGCTTCCTTTTTCGCAGCAGCGATGGCTCTGTCATCTAAAGCCGTCATTCGGCCATTGGGTATCTTTGCCTACCTAGTACAGCTTGTGACCATCTGGGGTGAGGCTATGTCGGAACTCTACAGGGCTGCCCAAAGCCAAGAATCAGACTACGACGCCCCGGGCTTCATTAACACCGTGATGGAGAAGTTCATCGGATGGCGCGAGTCCCTGCCCGAGCGCTTCGCTTACAGTTCGGGCAATATGGCCCTGGCTGCACAGGATGGCACTCTCAGCACATTCCTCACGATCCACCTGGTATATCTCCACGGGCTCATAAAGATCCATCGACACGCCCGGACAGAGTTGATCGCTGCCTCGGTACGGCTACAATACGGAACGCGTATCCATGAGGAAGCAATGCGGGTTCTGGACATCACGGGCATGTTGGAAGTGCTGCTCCAGGCCCGCCGAGCTCCCATCAGTGCGCCGCCTCCTTTCATGAGCTACGTCATCCTCGAGGCTACTGACATCCTCACGGCGGAGGGGTCCTTGGCGGATGTCTCGGTCATTCTGGATCGGCTCGCGGTCGCAAGCGCGATTGTCGATGCTGCGGGAATGGTATGGGAAGAGGCTCGGGCCCATCAATCGGCCATGGAACAGAGGCTTGATGCACTACGTGCTCTGCGTGATCTTCAGCCCAGCGACGCGCCCCTCGCCGGTAGCAGGGTGTTTGACCACGACGAGAGCAAGGATAGCAAGCTGCCTGCGGGGAGGTGCTGGCAGATAGACGATCCAATGGACACAACATTTCCTCGAAGGATGGATCTCGTATACATTCGAAGCTGAAGCAGCCAGCCACGTCGGCACCAGACTTGTTTCTTTCTTTTTCTACATGCATTGCATTTACGGCGTCTGGGGACACATGGATCTCTACTTGCTTTTTTTTGTACTGACGGCCTTAAACGCTCATATATGGCATGCACGATGAGAGAATCATGAAGCAGTCATGTGGTGTTGCGCCCAGAATTTTGTTCATATTCAGTTTTGCTTCGCTAGACTCTTGTCTATGTATCATTATACCCTGTACATGAGAAAAGACGGATGAACAGGCCGGCCAATCAAGGGTTGGGGAGAGGCAGCAAGAGGCAGAGGAGAGGGTGAGAAGCGGGCAATTGTCACCTACTGCATTCGTATACAGTAGAGACAGCCCCAGGAGGAGCTAAACCAGGCAACACGAGATGAGAGAGAGAGGGACGAAGAAGCATAGCATGGGGCGCGATATGATGTAACTCACGCCACCAAAATCCAACAAAATGAGGGAAAAAATTACCAGATCTTTCCGCCGCATCATCCATCATCCCTTGTGGACGTGATATTGCAGAATGGAGGGATCGGTCTGCATGTCTCAGGTTGGCCGCATGATTGGCATGCGGGATGCGGCATACGACGGCAGCCTGCCCCCCTCCCCCCTTCGGCTCGGTTTCTCAACGGTGCGTTTAATTGAAGCCGGTAGCCCTGCCAGACTGCGCATCCCGTAGGAACCGCAATATGCTTCTCATCTTTCTTTCGGCTGGGCATGTTGCCACGTCTCCGGCGACGTTTGTTGGTAGGATCAACAGGGGCCGTGGAGCCCTGTGTTTTCACTTCCATAGTTTCAAGGATGAGTGCTGGAGGTTCCTCGTTGGATGAGACGAACCAACTGCAGTCAGATTCTAGCGCGAGTTTACATACATGCCACACACGGTGCTCACCTCACCCCTCGGCTCGTCGGACCGCTGTGGCGGACCAGTCACCAGCGCACACCGGTCGTGGAGTTTTTTCTCGTCGGTGGGGGAGGGGAGGGGGGAGCTTTTTGCAATCTCGCGGTGCTGCACGAAAACAGATACGGGATGCAATGTTGTCTCGGTAAATTCTTCGGTGGAAGGGACTGGGCTGGGGGGAAGAGAAGGGACTTTTTTGTTAGTCTGCGTTGTTTGTGTTTGCCGGTCCAGTCCAGTCTTTTCTCTTCATGTTTTTCCTTCGTTCTTCTGCCCAATGACGGACACGCCCGTCCAACGCACCCCTCAAGGTTCAGACGGAGAGCCCTTGTCATCGGTAGCGGCCGGGACGACCTCAGGAAGGGGAGGGGGCAACATGCTGTGTGGAATGGTGGGCTCCCTCTTTTCTTTTCCCCCTCTCACTCTATGCTTTCTTTTCTTTTGGCCGGTGTGGGTGGGTTGTTAATACCGGCCGTGATATCCCGCCCGCCCTCCGAAAGGGAAGAGGGGGGGCCGCAATTGGGAGGGGGGGAAAGAGCCTCAAGATTTGTGTGTGTCTTTTTATGAACTTGATATGATGTGCTTGATTGCCTGCCCCCATCCCCCCATGCCTCAACCGTCCGTCCTCACCCCTCTCTTTTCGCGCGTATGGCTAGTCATGTAAGTCAAAGCCAGCGGCCCCCATGCCATTGAGCATTTACTCTTTTCGTGACAGTGCCGTGGGTGCTAAACAGGTTCAGCCTAGTTTTGTGAAAAGCTGGAAAGGTAAGGTAGTGAGTAGTCTGACTAGCGCGCACAAAAGCCCGTTATCCGATCTAATCATGATCTGATGTCTCGCAACGGGGGCTGCGTGGTGGCATGCTACGGGAATAAAATCACGAAAGTCGAGACACATATCTCGGTCAAGGTTCGAAAGTGCGATCGGCCCAATGAAAGCCAAGACTTTACGACGCTGCGGTGCCGTGGTCCGGGCCGTGGAGAACGTGTCGTCGTTTTTTATTTTTGCTTACTCGCGCGCGCGAGTGTCTCTTTTTTGCTCCGTTGATGATTTGCGCCTGCCCTGGGGCCGTGAAGGGCAACCCGCTTTTTGGGTTAGGTATGGGCGACGGGGGTAGGGGGGGGCTGTTTCGGTGACGGGGAATTGCGCGCTGCAACGAGGAATGGAGTTCGTGAGGCTCCTTTGGAATTCAGGGGGTTTGGGACAAAAGAGCTGAGGTTGAAGGACGGGACGACCACAGTGCACCACCACCACCACCACTCGGGGCCGGCCGGTCATCCGCCCGATCCCCCCCAGGTTGTTGATTAATCTTTAAATCTGTCTGCGACTGGGATTTGCGGCCCCCCTCCCCCTGCTTCTTCTTCACAGGAGCGGTGTTCATGGGTGGTTTTGGGAAGCAAAATCCGAAGCCGTCCTCAGTCGGCTCCGAGTCGCCCGGTTGGGATGATAAGGTAAGGCGCGTGGCGGCGCTGCCCCTACCCAGACCCTTGACAAGCCGCTGACGGATGTGGGAGATGGGACGGAATTCGGACATGGTACGGAGCGCGGGAGGGAGCGAACGAGCGAGAGAAAGAAAGAGAGAAGGGCGTTTCACGTGCAAAGATGGACAAGTGCCGATTTGCTCGGGCGAGTGTTACCGGTCGTGGGCTAGTGTTCCCACCTAAGAGTGAACCTGGCCAGGGCTGGTGTCTGGCGCCAGTTAGGTGCGAGGGATTACCTAACATGACCCTGCGCGCGCGACCTGGAGCCCACCAGCTCGGCGCCGGGCTCCGCACCGAGCCCCGAACGTCATAGGCTGCTGTGTCTCGTCTGCCGTGCCGGACGGCCTTGGTGATTTCCGTCCATCGCCGCCGCCGCCTTTGATAGAACCGCGTTGACTACCATAGAGAAAGAACAATTGCGAGAAGCCGAGTCTAAACATTCCGGCCTCGGTTGGATGATGTTACCGGCGAGAGTAGCTTCGCGCCTGGCGCGGCGGCAGCCCACTACACACCTGCCACTTTCGTTCCGGCGGGCGTACGCGGCCAAGTCGTCGTCTACCGCGAGATCCCCGCCGCCTCCACCTCCGTTCGAGACGGTCGCGACGTGTCCGTCGCCGACCTGTGGATGCGCCGAGACGCCGGCGATGCCCGAGGGCCTGCCGATCGACTTCAAGAGCCCGCTGAACGGCGTCGTGTCGGCGTACGCGGAGCAGGTGCTCGTCTGCACGGGCAAGGACGACTGGGTTTCGAGGATCGAGGAGGAGAACAGCGGGGACAACCTGGCTGCGGACCTGAAGGAGCTGTTTGGGCGCGGTGGGACGTACAGCGATGTGAGTTCTCCTTTTCTCTCTGTCAAATGAGATGAGGAGAGGGTGGCGATATGAGTGAGCTCTCATAAGTGAGAAAAGAGACTGACGACAGCACAGCCGTGGCACAACATCTCCGTCCTCAACGCCTCCTTCCCCTCCTCCGTGCCGAAGCGGAGCGAGCTGCAGACGACGAGCGCGTATCTCCTGCCCAGCTTCAAGTACGTGCCCTTCCTGCCGCGGGTGAGCTTCGACAGCGTGCAGGCGCTCGCCAAGGGCTACCTGCTGCCGGAGAAGCTGCACAAGATGCACGACGGCCTGTCGCCGATCCACCGCGACCGGCTCACGCGCAAGGAGGCGTACCGGTCGCTGCTGTACGGCGTGCGGGACGTCGAGGACGTGCTGGTGCTGGTGTGCGGGCACGGCGGGCGGGACATGCGGTGCGGCGTGATGGGCCCGGCGCTGAGGGACGAGTTTGAGAGGCAGCTTGAGGGGCTGGGCGTCGGTGTTGCCAGGGGGCCTGTTGAGGTCTACGAGGGTGAGACGGAGAGGATTGCGGCGCCACCCGGGGAAGAGGGGGGGGAGAAGAAGCTGTCGGCGAGGGTTGGGCTGATTAGCCATATCGGAGGACACAAGTTTGCGGGCAACATTATTGTTTATATACCGCCGAAGATGAAGGTGGAGGGCGGGGAGAAGCATCCGCTTGCCGGGATGGGCATCTGGTATGGGCGTGTTGAGCCGAAGCATGTCGAGGGGATCGTGAGGGAGACGGTTCTCGGGGGAAGGGTCGTCGCAGACATGTTCCGAGGCGGCATCGATCAGAACAGGAAGATTCTGAGGATATAGAGACGGCGAGGTCAGTGTAAGATTGCGTGTATGATAGGAGGAATCATCCACTCAAGCGACCGTGGACTAGACTTAGACCTCAACGGCTGTATTCAGGAAAAGGGGCATCGGCATTGACATTCAACTACACTCAATGGCTTAGTACTTTGGACCACCCCTGAAGAAAAATGACCATGCCTTCCAAAGGTAGGCATCAGAAAATGCATCTTACCAATGATTTAGTAAGACGTGCATTGTGAGATACTCGTCGTCGTTGTGTCGCTCACGTGACACGTTCGTTTCTCTCACTTGATTGGCGGGTCCGCTCAACCTCGACTTTTCCAGTCGTGTATGTCACCATCGCCAACCTCGCCAACAAGCCCAAAGCGCACTCATATCCCAGAGAACTATCGGTCTGTCATCTTAAGCTGCGAATTATTCATAGAAGGCGGATGATGGCTTTCGTCGCCAGCGCCGCCGCCCGTTCGGGCTTCACCCGGTCCTGGCACACTCACTCCCTCACTTCAATAACACGCCAAAGATCAACACTCATCTCACCATGCCAAATCCAACGCCTTTCACGTCAATTACACACACAGAAAGCCCGACCAACGCCCGCGACACCTCAACGCACACTCCCACCCACCCGCCGCCTCAAATCCACAACGACCCGCAAACGCCTCCTCACCCCGCGCACCATCCCCCTGCTCCTCGCCCTCGCTATCGCCGGCGTCGCATGGGACTCCCAATGGCTCTTCCCCTCCTCCACACCCTCCTCCGACCCGTCCGAGGCAACCATCCTCGCCAACGGCCGCAAATTCGTCCCCCTCACCGTCACCTCCAAAGACCCCGTGTCCCCAACGTCCTTCATCCTGACCCTCAAACCGCCGCACGCCGGCGGGGGGGCCGCGCCGCTCTCGTCGCTGTGGGACGTCTTCGACCTGTGGTGCGTCGAGGTGAAGCAGCCCCAGATCCAGGTCGCGCGCGAGTACACCCCGCTCCCGGGCGCAGCCGGCGACGACGCGCTGAGGCTGTACGTGAGGGCGCTGCGCGGCGGCGAGGTCTCGACGTACCTGTCCCGGCTGCTCCCCGGCGATTCGGTCGAGATCCGCGGGCCGCACGGGGAGTTTGACCTGCGCAGCCGGCTGAGCGAGGCCGGCGGGCGGGTGGTCTTCCTGGCGGGCGGGACTGGGGTTGCGAGTGCGCTGCAGGCTGCGCATGCTGTCCTCCCTCGCGGGGTGGACGTGACCATCTTCTGGGCCGTGAGGTGTCGTGAGGAGGTACAGGGAGCGGCGCCGGCGAAGCAGAAGGGATCGAAGGCTTCGTCGTCTTGGGGATGGAATCCATTTTCTGGGGGAAAGGGAGTGGGAGGGATCCAGGCCGAGGCGCTTTCTGCGGAGGTCGGCGATGCGTCTGCCGTGAGCAGGGAGTTGCTCGCGTTGAAGGAGAGGTACGGCGATAAGCTTGATGTGAGGGTCGTGATTGACCAAGAAGGGACGCGTGTGGGGGAGCAGGACCTCTCTGCAGCTTTGGCTCAGACAGGGTCCAAGAAGCGTGAGGCTCCCCCGCCGGTCTCGACGGAGGGATGCAAGTTCCATTCGCAGACTGCGCATCTGGGCATGGTTGACGGCGCGCCGAATGCCGGGAAGAGGTTCCTTTCCAAGGACGAGGACTGCGCCTGCGTCCCCAAGGAGGGAGCCGCGATCGGCAAGAACGTCTTTGTCATCTCTGGCCCGGAGGGCTTTATTCAGGCGTACGCGGGGCCGAAGATCTGGCGCGACGGAGGACAGCTGCAGGGTCCTGTGGGCGGCCTGCTGGGTGCGATGCAGAAGGGCAACCCGGACTTGTTGAGAGACTGGATTGTCCTGAAGCTGTAATATCAGGTCGGCATTGTAAGATTCAAGCGAGCGCATGTATCATAGTCTAGATCAGAGAGATTGAGGGCCCCTGGAATGGGATATTCAGTAACGCTGTCTAATTTCTGGGCCGGTGATCCATCCAAACCGAAAGAAAATGCTGTACAAAGTGAAGAGTGTAAATATCCCCGGCCTTCAACTCCGTAAAGTGATGCAAACGCAGCCTCCCTTTCTGGCCGCGGCTCGTGTCCCGTTCCAAACGCCGAAAGTGTTCCTATGCAACAAAGAAAAAAAGCCTTCGCCAACGCTCATGCTTTCTACGTGCTCTGCACCTTTCTATACGAGGGCGGCTTCATCGTCCTCCTGATCAACTTGACTGCATAGGGGGGGATGAGAGATATCGCCCCAATGGCGAGGACACGCCAGATGAATCCCCTGGGCGCTGTTAGCTTGTGGCCGTACACAGGCAGCACGGCAAACTTACAAGGTAATGATAAATTGGAGGTCAAAGTAGCCGCCGAGGAACGGCACGGACCCGACGTAGATCAGGAACGTGCCAACGATGGAGAGGATCATGAGAGGATGCCACGTGGTAATCTCAATGGCAACCATGATGAGTTCGTTGAGCACCAGAACGGTGTACGACACGGCTACCATCCTGGGCCCATCGACGGAGGTGAGAATCTGTGACAGGCCTTGGATGGTGCAACCTTGGTAGATGGACACGAGAACCCAGACGAAGAAAGTGCGGTAAGAGAGGGATCGCCCGGATGTGAGTTCCTTGTAAAGTTCGGGGTACAGGTTTGCGAGATCCTCGTCGACGTCCTTGTCCAGAACGAGAGATAGAACTGGGAACATGGTGTATAATGTGGCGTATCCTACGAGAAGCCAGTCCTTTAACATGTTAGAAAACGTCCAACATTGACTCCCGACAAACTTACCTTGTAGAGACCGTCTGGCTCGAACTTGATAGCGATGCTGTACATTGTTTGGCAGACTGCGATTATCAAACCACGATGAATGACAAACTGAGCGAGCTTAGCACTCCGCTTGTAACTGTTTCGTCCGTGCCAAACCAGCAATTTGGTCAGGTGGAAGAACTGGTCAATAGAGAAATCAGCAGCCAAACTGGCCTGACGACCCTCCTTGCCCACGATACCGACACCAACATCTGCCGCTTGAATCATAGAAACATCGTTGCCGCCATCTCCGATACAGCAGACTCGCTTCTTGGTATACTCCTTGATCAGCTTCGCTACCTCGGCCTTCTGGGTCGGCGAGCAACGGCAGGCAACCACGGTGGGAAGCTGGACGGCGACAGAAACGAACTCGATTCTGAAGTGGGTAAGAAACAGAGCCAAACTCTCACCGTCGATGAGGAGGCACGAGTCTGTCTTGCCGCGGAGGAAATCCAGATGGTCTTGAGCGTTGTCCTTCTTCTTAAGCTTGGCGACCGTATAGATGTACTGCCCGCGAGCGACCAATTTAGAGCTGACGGCAACGCAACGCGCCGTTTCAACCTTATCACCTGTCAACATCCAGATCTTGATACCGGCATTTCTCAATAGCTCTAGCGAAGGCTTGACGTCCTTTTGCAGTTTATCCTCAACGCCGGTGACGCCGAGAAGCTCCAGGCCGCGCTCCAAATGATGAGAAACAACTCGCTGCATGCCTGCGTCGCGTCCAGTAATAGCCAAGGAAGCTGCTTGATAACTTGAGGAGAACTCTTGGTACTGCTCATAAGACAGGCGCTTGCGTCCAACGACGAGCGTACGAAGACCTTCACGGGCCATGTTGGCGGTTTCCTCATCGAGCCAGTCGTTCTCAGCCACGATGGCGCTCATGACCGTGTCGGCACCCTTCTGATAGAACCATATTTCGCTGTCAGCCAGATTGGGAGGTGCGGCTTGAGCCTGTTCATAGAACTGAACGATGATGCCCATGCGCTTTCCCTCAGAGGTAAAGGGGAAGACGTCCAGAATGCGCACCCGCACAACTTCACGGCCAGTATCTGTCGACTCCAGAACCATACTCTTTCGGTCACGATAAGCCAGACGAAGACCAACAGACTCGGTCCACCGAACAATTGCAATCTCATCAGGGGAAGACGCCTGATACGAGACTACCGTCTTGCCATCTTCCTCTTCTGTGGTCGGGGTGACGTTGTGACAAAGAGCCAAGGCAAGAACGACGTCTCGCACACGAGAACCAATTTCTCTTCTGGTACGAGTAGCACCAGCATTGACCGAGCTAGACACCTGGGAGGAAGGCGTGACCAAAGCTGTGCGTGTGGAGGGATCGGTGGTAGGCTGGATGTGAAAAGCTTGCTTGACATAGGAGTTGACTTCGTCCATGGCTTCGTTGGCGTATGAAACAGTACCGACATGTATCTTCTTCATCTCCATTTCGTTTTGAGTCAAGGTTCCCGTCTTGTCGCTGAGCAAGTACTCGATTCTGCCCAGGTCTTCGGGTATCGTGCTTGTTCGGACAACAGCTCCAGGAATACCGGGATCTCGTTGGATGAACCAAGAGTACGCACTCTTGCCCATGTCGAGGTTGACACGTAGACTAATGGGTACGATGGTCGAGAACAGAACCAAAAAGCGCATGATCTTGATGTACCAGACGTTGCCCTCGGTATTCGAGAAACCCTCCAGAGCGACCAAAATAACGGAAAGAGCCAGGGTCAGAGCACAGAGGATCTTTGTGAGAGAGTTGATCTCGTACTCCAAAAGACCAGTCTTGGATCGTGAGGGAGCTGTAGACAGGGCGGACCTTGTCTGAGGACCAGTGTACATAATGACCGCCAGAGTCGTCGCGCTAGAGGCGATTACCGTGTTCGCCCATGCTGTATTGTCGATTGACAGAGGTGCAGATGTTCCTTCATCCCCATCGAGCGCTCCTTGTTGACTTTGAGCGTCTCTTCTGGAAGACAAGAGCTCGACAGTGCCAATGAATTCGTTGACCTTTTTGTCGGGCTTGCCTCCGGTGACACGGAGACGAACGAATTCTTCAGTTGATAGTGTCTGGGACAGAGGTGATGCCAACCGCAGCTTCCAATCGGTTTCGCCGTCAAGCTGATCAGTTCTGATGAACGTCTCGCCAGACGCATTGCCGCCACTTCCACCGTTTTTCTCTGTTTCCTTGCCCTTCGCGTCAGACGAATCCTTCGATTGCTCTTCATCTGTATCAACCAACAAGGATTCCTCCTCCGCGATGGTCTCCATCACAGGAGCCGCAGTGGTAGATTCCGCACTGATGCATTTCAAAATGACCACATCGGCGGGTACACGTTGACCTTTACCAAGTTTGAGCACATCGCCAACCTTGAGGTCCCGAGACTTTCGGACAACTTCGCGCACAGATGACGACGGCGGAGGGAGGCCCCCATCTGCTTCTGCTCGCTCCTCCTCTTCCTGGATATCCGACAGTCTGTCCCGGCTGTTCATCGAACTCTTGCCCCTCCTCATCGAATCCGACTTAAGTCTCTTGTGGGTTCGATGCGAAGCCATACCACGACCGGGCTCGTCAAAAGTGAGAATGGTGTACTCCTCCGCATTCGCCTCGTTATCTCTACGTCGTCTCTCAATGTCGTCGTATGCCTCCTTGCCCATGGTGATCATCAACACAAACGCCAAAGGTGCAATATAGGTCGAAAGGTAGCCGATTCGCAACGCTGGAATTGCTTGCGACAGAGCAACCAGCAGAAAATACATATTGAAGAAGAAGGAGAATTCGTTGTAGAGAGTGACGGGAAGGAACGAGAGGGCCGTGTACTTGGCGTTCGATATGAGGTTCGGAGGGAATCTCGTCGATTGGGATGACCCTACGGCGACAAGACGGGATGTCGATGGGTCGTCCTCGTCCTGGTCTTGGTCGTCTTCGTTGTTTGCCTCCTGCGCTCCTGAGTTCGACATGAAGCTGGGCAATCGTAGCCCCGACTTCAGACGTTCGAACTTATCCCCAGCAAACGAACGGCGCCTCGCAGGCGACCCGCCCGGCAGGAGAGGCGAGTCGTCATCGTCGGATCCTCTGCCATCCCTATATCGTGATGAGGAGCCTTCAGATTCACCCAAAAGGGCCTCTCCATCGTCGCTGTCGTCGTCGCGGTTCTTACCCAGCTCTCCATACCCTCTGGCCTTCTGCCCAGCCCGACGTGAGCCCCCCATACGTAGGTTTCGCAGTGCTATACGTGGCGATCGATGTTCAGTGGTCTGGCGGTCGCTGCGGATGAGTCCAGGGCTGCGGTGGGTAGTTGTAGTCGCAGGATCGAGCTCCTGGATGTCGAGATCGAGGTCTGAATCGGAATCATTCGCTGGGGAGCCTGGCGGGTCCGCGGAACGGTACGAAGTTGGAGAAGGCATCCCGCCCGCATTGGGAGAGTGTGTATGCAGTGGGCAACTCTTTAGGAAGATTCCGCGTAGGCGGAGGTGGTGATAAAGTTCGGTCGAGGGGGCGTGTACTGTTGCTTGGGGATCTGCATCGGATAGCTTCGGACGGGTCGGTATATTGTAGCGCGAGCGCGCAGCGATTTGCGTCGTGTCAGGTCCGCAGTGATGGCCAGATCACGCAGTTTGGTTCACAGGGAAGATTTTGCGTAGAATGAGTAGATTGTTGAGTCGCGGTGTTTTGGACAAGTAAACCATTGGCGCCAGCTTTGCTAAGAGGACGGATGGCTTGGATGATGTCGCCTGGAAAGGCTGAGCCAATCCAATTGGGTGGGAGTGCTATCCAGTGTGTCAGTGCCACGGGCTGCAATGCGGCATCCCAGGGGGTGCTGTGGCGGGCCACTTTATGTGATGGAGGCAGCCGCGTGGCCTTGAGTGCCCGGGCTGGACGGGTCGGGTGCCTGTGAGGTAAGGTAGGTACCTAAGTTAGGTAGGCGCAACGTCAGGCGGGACGTGTAGAGTGTGGCGGTGGAAGAGCTGCACCGGGCCCTACATTAGAGCCAAGGACGATTAGCGGGAGGCTTCTCGCGCGCGGACACCGATAGCTCAGCTCCGAGGAACCCGTGTATGAAGGAAGATTCATGTTTCTAGGTTACTTGCTGTTATGGATTGTTCTGCGATCTGTCCTCGTGGCGTTTCTTTTCTTTTTGAAGGGTGTATTCTACTAGTTCTGACACCGTTAGCTCACTGCTGAGCTGCATATGCATTTCATCTGGAAGGTCTTGGTTGGCTAGCATAAATAAGTAGGACGGACACTGCCGCATAAAAGGCAAGCTGTTCTCTACGAGAGGTTGCAACTTGCAGCACGTCACACTTGGAGTCGACTGGTACGCAGCTGATCATGTGGCGGGATACTCAAGCTTTGGTTTCTATCTGGCCATTCTCATCATCAATTATTGTCCAGCCAAGTGAATACATGCTGTAAGTAAGTACTGAACATGGCAACGGCACGGGCATCCCATGTTCCTGGGCACATCAAGGTGTCTTATGTAAGACGTCAGGTCCAGATTGGGGAAGCACCCGGAATATCTTCGGCCCTGTGTCGCAAGCAGGCACCACCTCCAAACCTGGTCCGCCCCTATTCGGGCGCGGAATGACGGAATCGGCCAGGAATCCGCGCTTCTGACTGGACGACGCATTCCAGACTGCACTGACAGACTCCTCTCGAAATTTTTAGGGACCCTGTCGCAGCAACCCGCGGTCGCAGATGCTGTAGGATGACACTTGAAGCAGCAAGGTACATGGGGGAAGTACCGCGCAGCACCACACCTTCATCGTACCTGCCAGCTTGCACTTGCACTTGCACCTTCAGTCCGTCCATTAGACTTTCGTCCGTCCACCAAAACACCTTGACGCCCTAATTCTTCCTCCTACCCACCAAACCGTCAAGTTCAGCATGGAGTTTGTCCTTGTGTATTCTATCTAGACTTCTGTTTCTCTTGTACATGTACGTGGCCTCTCTTTCTTGCTTCCATCTCGATTCCTTCTATCCCCTCCCACTTGTCGCGTCGTGCGACGCCAAACCCCGGGTGCCGTGCCGCGCATCTATCTGGTGTGTCCAGTGCTGACAATCTTGACATAGCTGTTCCTCCAGCCTTTGAAATCGCCGCATCGCAAACTTCGCATGACTCGAATCTAATTAGACCTCCATCATGACTGTCGAGACCGCGAACGCCTCGTGGCATCCGGCCTTCATGCCAAATGCTGCCAGTGGCGACGTATCCGCTGATGCCGCACCACCCTCAACCGCAAATCACGACACATCACCTCGGCCCGCTGCTGCCGAAAAACACCTCTCCGATGATACCGACCGTAGCCCCGAATCACAGCAAACATTCTCTTTCGAGGACAAGCCTGCGGTAGGAAGCAGTTCCTGGCTGGGCGCGGAAGCTACTCAGGACGAATCTGACGATTGGCCCAATTTTGGTCAACTGGATACTCTCCCAGTCGAACCGAAGGAGAATGGCGAAGAAGCTCCAGCTACAACGGAGGCCCCAACTGAAGCTTCAGCTTGGGAACCCGGACCGATCCCTGTCACCCAGGAGGCCGCGACGCAACAGGATGTCCCCGCCGATGATGCCAAACCCGCCGGTCCCACGTTAGGTCACACCAGTAACGACTCCTTTACCCGAACGGTTGCCCACGAAGTTAATTGGGACGACGACCACGAGGAATGGACGCTTTCCCGAAGGGACACCGATCCGTTCAAGTTCATGCCGCCCAATGACAGAACAAACTCTTTTCCGCCGGTGCCGCCTGTCGGAGCTTCCACCTCCGCTCCTGGAGAGGAACACCCTTTACCATCAAATCAAGCTGAGGATCTGATGCACGAGATCGAGAACACACCGGACCATTACGACGCGGCCGGCGACGAGCAAACACATAATGCTGCTTCTGCATTCGATTCGGGTTTTGGGAATGATACCGAGGATAGTCAGCAGTACGTCGGTCGTGATGAGACCTTTACCGAAGAGGAGGGTCTCGGCTCGCGATATGAAGAGGGCGTTCCTTTGATTTCTCAAGTGGATACCAACGGCGATGCGCCACAGGCCGGGCCATCATTCACAGGGTTTGGCGACGACGAAGCCGCCGATGATGACTTCTTCAGCAAGGTTCAAGACACAAACAATGACGATTTCCCCGACTTCAGCGGCAAGCAACCCCTTGAACGCAAATCCACCATGCAAGTCCTAGGTGGCCTGGACGACTCTACGCTTTCAAGAAAAGACACGTTGGACGACATGTTGGAAGAGGACGAGGATGAGGAAGCGTGGCCGACCACCCAGCAGACGGAAACATCAACCAATACTGCACCGGAGCCCACACAGACCGAGATAACACAACCCGATGATGCTGAAGCCAAGCCCACGGAAGACTTGGCCGCGAAATGGGAGCAAGCCTTCGCAGGTGATGACGAGGATGACTTCTTACTCGACGATACGCTTGACGCGTCTGGCGAAAGCAAGGCTGTCGACCCGTCGGCGTTTTTCGGCAGCGACGACGAAGGCTTCCTCGAGGATGATGACGAGCAGCAGGCTGCCCCTGCTGCTTCGACCGCCAACCAGGCGCAAACATCTGGCACCCAGGGACGATACACACCTCAAACGCCTGCCGCTGCTCCTCAACGGAGTAGCTCTAATCCTTACGCTCCTGCACAGCCGGCATTGTCTGCTTATCAACCTCAGGCGGCTGCCTCGCCATTCATCCCAGCACCCTATGCTGTTCAGCGTGCCCAGTCAGCCGCTCCTTATGCGGCGGAACAGCAGTTGAGACCCGAGCCTTCCAAAGCCCAAAGCTTTGCTGCCCAGTCCAAGGGCGGTTACACATCGCCGTATGATCTGCCCATGCAGGTGGTTGTTCCTAAGAAGCGGGCGAGCACTTCTCAAGCTCCGAGAAGTCCTGCGACGGGACCGGCCCCGGGCCCGCCTCCCAGGAGCTCAAGCATGCACGCGTCCACTCCTCCTCCCCCAAGAGCCGCTTCTTCCAGTGTCTCTCCGCCAACATCAAGTCATTCCGGCCAGCCTCCAGCGGGTGGGAAGCCTGCGCCGGTGCTGCGAAACAAGGAAAGCTTTTTCGAAGATTTGCCAATGACTTCAAAGCCTAGATCTGCCTCTAGGCAAAGTCAGAGGGTTTCTTCACCAGCACAAACAGCTCCACCTCCACCCCTAGGACCCCCAGCACAGACCCGGCTTGCACCATCACCGCTATCGCCGCCGATGCTGTCACCCGATACCCCTGACATGTCTCGTTCTGCCTCTGGAGGTATCCCGAACCTCGTCTTAGGAGAGCGCCCGAACCCTTACGCGCCACAGCCGGGGCAACAGGCTCCCAGCATTCCTAACAATGCTAGATACTCTCCTGCACCCCCGGCGGTCCCCGCAGCCAATGGTCGCCCATCATCTTCCAGCAGATACTCTCCTGCACCAACTGGCGCGAGGCCACCTGTGCCTTCTTACCACTCAGCGTCTCCTACTGTGCTGCCACACTTGCCTAGAACGTCAAGCCCCTTGGCTCATTTTGAGGTTTCGCGTGAAGCTCCGAGTACCAATGGAGACCACCTGGCCGATCGCAGGTCGAGTTACAGCCTCGAACCAAGAATCACAAGAGTTCCGTCACTCCCCGTCACCCGCGAGGTGGAAGAAGAGGATGACTCCAGACCTTCCCACCTGAGCCAACCCGGAGGCGGCATTCCTCCTGAGTCTAGGTATAGCCCGGCACCGCCAGCGGCAGCTAGACACACGCCGCCGCCGCCACCTGCTTCGCAGGGACCTCCGATGCATTCGGCTCTGTCACCTCCGAAGAGGTCCAACTCCAACTACATGCCACAGGCCGCATCGCATGAGTCGCCGCCGGACAACAGATTTGCTCCGCCACCAAGATCTCAGACGCAATCTCCAGGCTCTTCTCACGGGAGACCGACCTCTCAACCTGTTGCGCGTCCATCTTCCGTCCACAGCCCCACGTCTCCAAGGGCAACGAGATCGTTCCCGCAACCGCATGCGCCTGTCACCCGTCCGCGTGGACCTTCACAGAGTTTGAACATGGTCGCGCCGACGGATGGTCGTGAGCTTGATACCTTGCAGAGATGGAAGGGTGCTCCTATCATCTCTTGGGGCGTCGGCGGAACCATGGTTACCTCCTTCCCGAAGAATGTGCCTCGGTATGGTATCGGCCAGACGGCACCAATGATCATCCGCAGCCCCGGAGAGGTCCATGTCAAGCACATCAAGGATATTCAGCCTCTCGAGGAGAGATTGGCCAAGTTCCCGGGCCCTCTCAAAGGCAAATCGAAGAAGAAGGAAACGGTTGCTTGGCTGACAGCTGGCATTGAATCGCTGGAGCGGGAGTTGCCGGACATCTCATTCCAAACACAGCTTTCTCACGAGCATAAGCGTGCGGTCGAAAGAGTGTTGCTCTGGAAGATTCTTCGCGTGTTCGTCGAATTTGACGGTACCCTAGAAGCCACTCCGGCGGTCGACAAGGCGGTACGAGATGTGCTTGCTCCCGGCCTCACTGTGGAGGAGGGCGAGCCCACACCCGGCTACGGTGCTGTTGTCAGCGCTGAAGCGCTTCAGGAGTCGTCTGTCACTCAGATGAAGGCGGATGCGGTCGACTCGTCTACGATGGATCACATTCGCAAGCACCTTCTGGTCGGCGAGCGCGAGAAGGCCGTGTGGGCCGCAGTTGACAAACGCCTTTGGGGTCACGCCATGCTGATTTCCAACACTGTGTCCCCGGATCTGTACAAGCAGGTTGCCCAGGAATTCGTGCGCAAGGAGGTCAACTATCCTGGCCACAATAACGAGTCTGTTGCGGCACTCTACAAAGTGCTCTCTGGCAATTTCGACGACTGCGTCGACGAGCTCGTTCCCGTGCATGCCCGGGCTGGATTCCAACTGATGAACACGACTTCTGCCACCGGCCCAGCCAAGGACGCAACTGAGGGGCTCGACAAATGGCGGGAGACGTTGGGACTGGTACTGAGCAACAGGAGCACTGATGATGTCCGTGCTCTGAATGCTCTTGGCAATCTTCTTTCATCCTACGGGCGCGCTGAGGCAGCTCACATTTGCTTCCTCTTTGGTAGGAAGGCGACCATTTTTGGAGGTCTGGATGACGGCACCTCAAACTTCGTCCTCGTTGGTGCCGATCATAAGACCCAGGGTGACCAGTTTGCCAAGGAGACCGAGGCGTTGCTGCTGAGTGAGGTCTACGAGTTTGGTTTGTCGCTGTCTGGCACCTCACCTCTGTCGGCTGGCGTGCCACACTTGGCGGCCTACAAACTGCAGCATGCCATGACGCTGGCCGAGTACGGTCTGCGAGACAAGGCACTGCAATACTGCGAGGCCATTGCCGGCTCGATCACTGCTCAGACGAAGAGATCTCCCTACTACCACCCCATCTTGGAGACTGCAGTAGAGAACCTGAGGGCGAGACTAAAGCAGGCTCCTAAGGAAGAGTCTTCATCTTGGATTTCTAAGCCCAGTATGAACAAGGTCTCAGACACAGTTTGGAGCCGTTTCAACAAGTTTGTTGCAGGCGATGAGAACGAAAACGCCGCAGCTGGTGGCTCCGCCGAGGGTGCTGAATCCGGACCGTTTGCTCGAATTGCAGGTGGCACGCCGACCATCAGCCGATCTCCCTCAGTGTCCAACTTCGAACCGCTGTATCAAGGTGCAACTCCAGGTTTCCAAGTCGGGTCCCCACCTTCAGCAGTTCCTATTCCCGCTACGAGGGCAGCATCTCGATATGCGCCAACTTCCGGAACGCCCGCTCTGTCCAGCTCTTACGAGCCTGGCTCCGGATACAGCCCGGCTCCTGCTTCGGTTGGACGTTCGTCAAATGAGCTGTCCCGTAGCCCCTATGAGCCGAACGCCGGATACATGCCCGCACCGGCATCTATTGGCCGTTCATCGAACGAATTCTCGCGTAGTCCCTACGAAGGCGGTTCCTACATGCCTGCGCCTGCCCCGGCAGGACGCACTTCCAACGAGCTTTCTCGCAGCCCCTATGAGCCCCGAAATTCGATGGACTCGCAGCACGGCAACGCAAACGGGGGCTACATGCCGCAGAGTCTCTCCGGCCCGTCCCTCGGATATACGCCCCCGACCTCTGCTCCGGCTCAGCCAGGAGCTGCACCGGTCTCCCCTCTGCAGCCGCCCGCTAACTCGCCGTACGAGCCTTATGGTGTTAGCCAGCCGTCCACGATCCCCTCGGTGGAGGTCGAGACGCAAACTGGCACCCAAGAATCGAATGACTTGTCTGGTTCCGGCTACCAGCCACCCTCCTACGTATACGAGCCCCCGTCCCTGGTCCCCAGCGACGAGCCTCAGTCGCAAGGTCAAGATAGCACTGGCTCGGATGGTTACCAGCCTCCATCTTTCCAACCGTATGGCTACGAACCGCCCTCATACAACCCTGAGCCTGAGGCGGACGAAGAGGCCGAGGAGCCAAAGCGAAAGCCAAAGAGTTTCATGGATGACGATGATGATGATATCCCTGGTCTCAAGGCACTTAGGTCAACATCCGAGGATAAGAGCAAGGCGGAGAAGGATAAGGAGAACGAGGAAATGTTCAAGAAGGCAGCTGAAGAAGATGGTAAGTTGGATAACATTGACGGTAATGAGTTTCTGCTGACATTGTATCCAGCCAAGCGAGCAGCAGCCGCGCAGCAGCAGAAGAAGGGGTGGGGCTTCAGCAGCTGGTTCGGCGGCAAGAAGGAAGCGATTCCTGATGCCGCACAGCCCAACAAGCCTATTAAAGCCAAGCTGGGTGAAGCCAACAACTTTGTGTATGATCCCGAGCTGAAGCGTTGGGTGAACAAGGCTGCAGGCGCAGACCAAGCGCAGGCCAAGACGGCGACACCGCCGCCACCGAAGGCCGGCCCTCGGTCTATGACGGGAACACCTCCCCCTCGTATTATGACTCCGCCCATGGGCCGAGCAAGCGCGCCTCCCGGTGGTCCGCCAGTTCCAGATCTTGCGAAGACGCCCTCTATTGAGAGTCTTGGTGGTGGCCCGCCGGGACCTCGTCCGCCTGCAATGATGCGCTCGGTGTCGAACACAAGTGCGGCTGGAGGTCCTCTCAGTGGTCCTCCAAGCCGGCCCGCGACGAGCATGAGTAATGCTAGTAGCATTGACGACTTGCTCAGTGCCGCTGGCCCACGTAAACCCGGAGCCAAGAAGGCCAAGAAGGGTGGCCGTTACGTCGATGTCATGGCGAAGTAAGATGTTGTATTAGGATTCACGATTTTCAGATTCACGATCGAAGAAAGCGCAGGTGCCATGAACGGGCGATGCATGTTGTAACATAGACTTTCCAGTAACGGCATTGTAATAGTTGATTGGGCTTATTGCTCCGCGTGTGCAGCGGTCAAGTGCCCTTGTTTTTTACTATGGTATGGGCGTTGGTCGAGAATGGCCTCCTTTAGACAGACGACACGCAATATAGAGTCCGTCACGAATGCTGGCTTGAGCTTGAGTTGGTGTCCCTGTTCATTACCACAGTGACTCATAAAATGGCCTTCTAAAGTGTTGAACACGAGTGAGTAGAAAACCGCGCAGCTCAGCCCCCCAGGGATGGGCTTGGCGATGGATGGGGGACGCGGGGTAATCTCGGCGCCAACTTGGACGATCAAGGAAGTTTTCCGGCGGTGAATGCTTGTAGCTGAGACGGAGAACGTTGTCCGTAGAACAGAGATCTTGGTATCAATAATACTACGTATGACAAGAGATTCTCGTGGGGGTGCGCGTTGCGTCGTGAACGCCTTGGGCAGGGTGGTTAGTCTTTTAAAGTTGTATGCCCACACGCCTTACTTGCAAAGCACGATCTTGATCTCAGTCTTCGTCCCCGGAAAGATCGAGAGAGAGTGACTAGAATGGTTTCTCCAACCAACACGGCGAATGCCGATGAGCATGCTATTTCAGCCAAAGCCCGTGTTGACAACATGGCTGAGCCGTACAGGGAAGCGAGCCAGAGCTCTGAACAGATGAGTTCGTTCGGTCTGACGGAGGACGAGCTTGCTCTTGAGAAGAAGCTCCGATGGAAGATCGACCTCATGATCATGCCGCTTATTGTGTGGACATACCTGATGAACTATATTGACCGGTCAGTGGTCCCGACAGACTCTGGAACGTTGGCTGACTTTGGGCAGGAACAACTATGCCGCAGCTCGTCTTCAAGGACTGGAGGCGGATCTGAATCTCACCGACACGCAGTGTAAGAGCTTCTACGAGCTCGACTTGTTAATGAAGCTTACACGTCGTAACAGACCAGATTGGGCTTTCGGTGCTCTTCATCACCTATGTAAGTGCGGGCCCTTTCCCACGGACTCGATAATGACGGAGTTGTGTTTCTAGGTCCTCGCCCAGGTTCCTTCCAACATGATGCTCAACCACATTGGCAAACCGGCGTACTACCTCGGCTTCTTCACCGTTGCCTGGGGCCTCGTCTCGGCCCTCACAGCCTTGGTCCAAAACTTCGCCGGCATCATCGCCTGCAGATTGGTCTTGGGTCTCGTTGGTTAGTACAAACCCCACGTCTCGCTTACACCGGCTGACATCAAGAAAAGAAGCACCGTTCTTCCCAGGGGTTAGTACAGCTCCTCACCTCAATCTATCTACCTACTCACACAGGCATAAGGTCATCTTCTACCTCTCAAAGTGGTACACCAAAAAAGAACTCTCGCTGCGGATGGCTCTTTTCTACAACGGCTCCCTCATAGCCGGTGCCTTTGGCAACCTCATCGCCGCGGGGATCCTTAAGGGCCTCGACAAGGCACACGGCATCTCCGCCTGGCGCTGGCTCTATATCCTCGAGGGTGTCGTCACCGTCGCGACAGGCATCCTCATCTGCCTCGTGCTCCCCGACTTCCCCGAGTCCTGGCGTGCGCTCTCCCCGGAGCTGCGGCGCCTGGCGACCAAGCGGCTGGCAGTCGACGCGGCCGAGTCGGACGTCGACGAGACCCGCGGGCCGCGGGCGCAGCTCGAGGGCTTCAAGATGGCGTTGAGGGACCCCAAGGTGTGGATTCTCACCGTGGCGTACCACGCCTTCGTCGGCGCGGGTGGGTTCCAGAACTTCTTCCCCAGTCTGACCCGGACGCTGGGGTTCGACGATACCGTCTCGTTGCTGCTTGTGGCGCCGCCGTACGTCTTTATGGCTTTTTACTGTGCCTTCCACTCGTGGTTGTCGGACCGGGTGCAGAACCGGTTCTGGTTCTTCATGTGTAAGTTGCGCCCGCTTTTACTCGAGGTCTTAACGTATTGGGGAAGTTGAGTTACTGATCAAACGGCCGATGGTTTAGATCCTATCCCAATCGTGATTGCGGGCTGCGTTATCTTCATGACGACAACGGCCTTTGGGCCGCGGTACTTCTCGCTGTTCCTGCTCAACTTCGTCTTCACCATGAATGGGACGACGTACGCCTGGATATCGACGTGCGTGCCCCGTCCGCCCGCGAAGCGCGCCGCGGCACTGGGGTTCATGAATGCCGTCGGGAACGCGGCGTCCATTTGGACCTCGTACACGTATTTTGATGCGCAAGGGGATCGGTACCCTGTTGCTTTGGGTATTGTCATTGCGCTGCTGGGGGTGTCTGCGGTTGGTGGTGTGTGGCAGCGGTGGATTCTGGTGCGTGAAAATAAGCGGTTGGAAAGGCTTGAGAATGAGGACGTGGTGGTGGAGGATAAGGAGATGCAGAGGTTGGGGGAGACGGCACATGTGGAGGGTGTTGATGTTGGTACGGCGAGGCAGAGGCAGAAGGGGTTCCGATACTTGATTTGAGTTGTGGGAAGGAAGGATTGAGGTTCGTTCATGAAAGGCAGATGCTGAATGGACCTTGAGACAAGAACTCGCCCGCGGGATAGCATAGATTCGGTCTCCGTGGCATCTAAATCTATAGGCTTATTATCTTAGTGGGGTACTGAACTTCCGTACGTACCGTAGACGAAATAAGAAACTCGACTCCTTTACCTATCCAAAGCATAGTGCCTTCACGGAGTCTGACATTGGTTGGTTACAAGTATGCACTCACTAATCATCACCTTTGGTAAGCACCCCTAGTAAAGCTACCATACAACCCCTGTGAGTTTATGGTACTCCGTCAGTAGACTGTCTCTATTTACTTACAACTTATTTCTGAGGAAAACGCTCTTTTGTTGTTGTTGAAATAACGGAGCAATAGATGTAGAGAGGGCTATAAATAAATAAGGCTTAGTTTGTAAGACGAATTCATGTCCTCAAGATTCAACTCGAGCTAACAGTTATTGAATGTACTATGCCGCCTTACATAAGGTGTTGTTACTGGGAAGATCCATTGAAGACAGGGGGTCTTGCTTGCTGCAGCGCACCGACCAGTGCTGTGATTAGTTTGCAGTCTAGCTCGCACCAGAACGACTCGACAAAACTTTTCTCTCCTACAAATTCCTTCGATTTCACCCAAGCCACTGCTCTTCTTTTCTATTCTTCAGAGCACCTGTTTCTAGGAGCGGGTTCATGTTACCTGTGTTTATGAACCAAATGACACATCGGCGAAGAATCTGTCATGTTTCAGCAAAGGTCAATTCACAACCAAGCCACTATAAAGGTAAGGTATGTTTCCGGAACCACTTTCTACGGTATGACAGCCGCCGAATCCTGCTGCCATTTTGAGTTTAGTCATGCAGTAACCCCTCATCATAAGCCGGGTGTTTCCGTCACCCCTCATTATGGGACCTTTGCGACTTGTCATCAGCGGGATGCAGGCTTCACTGCTCGGCATAGTCAGCCACCGTGTCAGCATTCATAAACGATGCTTGACGAGAGTTTGTCACAGCGAGAATGGTGTAGGGGTAACATAGCGGCTTCCCATGCCGCTGCTCCGGGTTCGAGTCCCGGTTCTCGCACATCTTTTTGTTGTTTTTGGTAGTCTCAAAGCTCGACTTGCGACATCGATAGCTTTCAAGTGCTCCTCAATACATCGTGAAATGTTTGTCTCGGAAGTTTGATCAATCCTGCACACAGACCACTTGTTCTAGTCTACAGAACAATCTTAGCACTGCACAGCTGGCAGCGACTGGCTGTGTATATTTTCATTCATGTCGAGTGAACTGCACCGGGAGACAAACATGAAGACCATTATATGGCAGGATCATCATTCACTACGTCTCTTTTCATGGAAAGGATGTCGCATCTCGAAACGACCATGCCGACCCTTGTACTACGGACCTCCGACACGTCCATCACGTCGAGCACGATGAATCTCAACCAACTCCCGCGCGCCTGTTCGTCATCCGAATTTGACTTTGTGATAATGCTGTCTTGTTGCTTCCTCTCGCAACTTAGTTCCCGTCCAGGCGAACGAGCTGCAAGGCCTCGCTAGCCCGGCAGACCCGGAAGCTTCCAATCATCCCAACTTTCAGAAGGCTATGTCATGCAAGGCAGCCATACTACCAATGAGTTCACGGTGAGTACACTGCCTTATCGAGACACTTGGTAAGCGAGACGCGGAAGCTCAGAGCTTAGCTATCGTATTCTTCCGTAACACGAGCCAAACCTAGCAACTCGAGCAGACGAGGTCCACCGTATTGTACTGCGGCTGTCGAGTTATACGCAATCTCCGATGACCTGGTCGTCCTCAACAGACCGAGCTCCTTGAAGTGTGGTACACGGAAACACTGAACCAGACCATGTTCGAGAACGTGTGCGCGTACGTGCGTCACCTTGCTGCTACAGGGTCATAGCTCTGGCTTCGGAGCGCGAAGCTCCAAGCTGTCGAGGCTCTGGCGAGATAGCAAATGAGTGACGGCCAAGATACCTTCAGACGAGCCTGGAACGGAAGCCCGTCACAGCGGCATATGCTTCCAGTTTGCTTCCGGGAGCTTGCTTCAGCGCGGCCAATCATCCTTGCCATGGAAATGAGGAAGAAGATAAGTAGGAGCTCTGCGCTGCTGGTCGTCTTGATGTCTAGTATCATCAAAAGCTAAACACACTTCAACGGTAAATCGACACATCACAACACTATGGCACCAGAAATCAAGAACGTCGCCATTGCCGGCGTAAGTCCTCCCTATCCAATACCCTCCTACCAACTAACAAGCCCAGGCTGCCGGTAACGTGGGCCCCCATGTCCTCAAAGCTCTCATGGACACCAAGAAATTCAACATCACCATCCTCACGCGCAAAGCCGGCTCTCACGACTTCCCCTCCAGCTGCACCGTCAAGGAGGTAGACTACGAGTCCCTTGACTCCCTTACCGCCGCCCTCAAGGGCCAGGACGCGTTCGTCAACTGCACGAGCAACTTCGACCCCAAGGCCGCGACCCGCGTGGTAGACGCTGCTGTTGCCGCCGGCGTGTACCGGTACATCCCGCCCGACTTTGGCATCGACCCCAACAAGGCCCACGTTCCGGAGCTGCCCGTGTTCGGAATCAAGGCGCTGACGCGCAAGTACATGGAGGCCAAGGCGCAGGAGGTGGGTGACAAGTTCACGTGGACCATCATCGCCAACGGGCCGTTCCTCGACTGGGGCATCCGGTCGACCTTTATGGGCTTCGACGTCAAGAAGAAGAAGATCACTTACTTCAACGACGGCGACAACGTGGTTCCCTACACGAACCTCCCCGACGTCGGCAAAGCTGTCCTCGGGTCGCTGACGAACCCCGACGACTCGGCCAACCGCATCATCTATGTGCACACGATCAACAAGTCGCAGAAGCAGCTCGCGCAGCTCGCGAAGGAAGCCATTGGCGGGGAGTGGGAGGAGATCAAGACGGACATGGATGCCGTCTACGCGCAGTGCATGGAGCAGATTAAGAAGGGTGTCATGACACCTGATGTCTTGATCCCGCAGATTCCGTACGCTTGCACAAAGAAGCACTACGCCGCTCCATGGGAGAAGAGCGACAATGCGATGCTGGGTGTGAAGGAGTGGAGTGATGAGGAGGTGAAGACGCTGTTCAAGCAGATTGACCAGGAGTAGAATAGCAAATCCTGAAATCAGACTTATTGTTGAGGCTGTATCAGAGACGTCGCTGCAACTGCTTCGATTGTGTCGAAGAATCCCTTGCGTCCCCATCTGGAAGTGAGACAGAGCAATGAGCGTCTGACAAGTTGTCTATTGGAACGCTTCGTCGTCTGCGAGGCGTTTCCAGGCAACCGTGACCCCTAGGTGGTTTGAAGATAACCTGACCAAGCATCAGCAGCGGCACCTTCGCATGCTATGCTTATGAGGTTACGTACTATGGCCTCGGTAGTACTCTGTTTGACCTGCAGTTACTTGCCCCAGTGTAGCTTATGCACACAACTTCTTCTTGACTTCGTGATTGTACAACAGGGCTTGTATCAGCATCTGAATTCTATCTCCTTCATACAAAGTACATGCGAGAGCTTTTCATCAAGAGGGCCCATTCAGGATGCTCTCACTCATGTAGATGCTCTCTCATCGGAGTGGCATCGGCCACTCCGCGTCGGGTATGCCGTTCCAGACCTCCCCATAACAAATGCATCCAAGCCAGCCCATACCCCACCACGCTGATCATTTCTTTGCTCGTCCTGAGCGTAATATACACAGGTCCTCGGCGGTAGAGAACAGGAATCGGGGTCACCGAACGAGAGTGAGATGGGTGGACGGAAAGGTGAGCTTCGGGGGGGCATGAGAAGCTTCAAATCGTCTAGTGCTGTCGGGGCGTGAATTCGTTTACTAAGACAGCAGTATAAGAAAAAAGAGCTTGTAAAGAGGAGTCGAGTTCGTTGGTGTCGTTTCCTGTCCTCGCCAGAGGACAAACAATTATCGGGTTCCATTAGGAGCGGAGCTTCGGATCAGGCTCGGCGAAAGCCTAGCCTGCCTCGTATCGAGTTTAGAAGGGGATGTTGGGGGTGCCCTGAGCACCGAGAGTCTCCTGCTGCTCCTGGAGCTCCTCGCCACCGGCCTCAATGGAGATACCGACACCAATCTTCGCTTGTTGCTGGGAAAGAGTTAGTATGGTCTCGTGAGTAGAAATTCGCTTCACATACCGCGAAGTGGTCAACATCGGCGGCCAGAGTCATCATGACAGGGGCAGCAATGCGCTTCTCCAACAAGCAGCTCAGCTTGCCCTTGGAGTCGACCTGGGCACGGAAAGTGGACATTCTGAAGTCGTACTTGGCGCCAATGGTGGTGACACCCTCCTTCTGGAACCCACCCATGACACCTCCAGCACCAGGGACGAGAGACAAAGACAGATCAACGCCGGCCTGAACCTTGTCGGAAAGACGTCTCCAGTAAGAGGTGTTCAGAGCACCTTGAGCCTGGAGCTGAGCGGTGGCGATCCAGTCGGCGGACTTGTAGCGAGCGCAGTAGGAAGTAGCGGTTTCGGGGCCCTGGGTCATGGCTTGGCGCTGCCAGACGGTCTCGAGACCGAGAGCAAGCTTGGGGGTAACAGACTGAAGGTAGCTTCCAATGAAGATGCCGGTCATGCCGCCCTCGAGGAAGGAGGGGTTGAGCATCTTGAGGGAGGCAGTAAAGTCGTCGCCTGTGTACTCGTTCTCGAACTGAAGCATCTCCTGGCCGGCGCCGGGAGCAGCCTGGAACTGGGCCCTCGACACCAGCTTATCAGACCATCGGTAGTTAAATCGGGTAGAAAGCTGTCCATCGTTGTCCATGTTTCCTTGCAGGAAAACCTATCTCTACGTCAGCGAACAGTTTTCGCGCATAATTGACATGGCGGGGTTTGCCAACCTTGCTCGTTCCATACAGCGCAGCAAAGGTGTACGGGTTCAGACGGTCGCCCATAGCAAACTGGTGAGAAACCTGGAACAAAGGTGACATGCTGAAGGCCTTGGTGAGGTCGGCGCGGAGGCCAGTGAACATGTAGTTGCTGAGCAGGACATCGCGCTGGACTTCCTTCGTCAGGTTCTCGGTGGTGCCGGGGTTGGACAGGCCAAGCTTCGCTCTCCTTTCCGAGAATGAGTTGATGGCATCTGACAGAGTGTGGGCGACAGGGTTGTTCAGAAGAACATTCTGAATTTGTTGGAAGCTTGCGGCCATGGTTGCGAGAGTCGGCGCGGGCCTGCGTCGAACGAAACCGGGGAATTAAACAGACGGGAAAAGTCTTAAAGGGAGGGAGAAGTGAGCAAAGGGTCTCTGTATCGGGAGGAAAAATACAGCTGCGACTGCCCTGGGGGAACCGATTGAAGCTCGCGCAATGGGCAGGCAGGGTCGATTTGGAGAAGTCGTCGACTCGGAGGCGGGAGCGTTGGATTGGCAGACTGGAGAATAAATTTCTTCCACGCTGGATTACATTACGCACCAGCTGGAGGTCCTGGTCGAGCACGAGCCACGGTGCCACGTTGGATTCAACGGGACCACAGAGCTGAGCGCCACAGCCGGTGGGGGCCTGCCAAAGAGCTCACCTTCAATTGAATGGGAGTCACGTGACTGAAGTTACGTCAGGTGCAACAGGGCACTCGATCGGTCCGAAGCTTAACCGGCCCCAGATGTCGGGACTGCCGCCGAGAAGACCCTTGCTTGCATCCGGCACGTTCCCTTGGCCTTTCCCAAGCACTCAGCCCAGAAGGCCTCTTTCTTCGCCAGAGGTGTTAGTAGTCCAAGGACATCCTGCAACTTACCTAACCTTCCTCACCTGCACAGGTGATTCCCAACCTCCATTGAGTCTTCAGACCAAACCATCGTAACTCTCCTGAGATATCTAGCAAAGCAGACCAACCATCAACGCTGTCTTTTCGAATCCCGGTTGGGCACCCGCCTGCACAGACCACAGAATTTCGGCGAAGGAGGGTCCTCGGCGGTCCAAGGGCTGGCGGCTTAATTCGGAACGGGGGCAGCTCAGACAGCAGCGTCACGTTCACCGCGACCGCCATCACCGTCCACGAAGCACCGACTTCTGCGCGATTTTGTCTTTCTGAGGTCGGCCCTTGACCTCACCTCGCCCATTTCGTACTCCTGGTCTGGTTCGATTTCGTGAGGGCCAGTACTAACAACGTCTCAACCCGGCACTGCGTCATTGCATCGTCCCCGCTATTCCCCTCCGTAGCGGCCCCTCCATCCGGCGCAAAGGCGGTGCCGTGTATGCCTCTCGACCAACCCGCTCCCACCTCTTGTCCCTCGGCATAATCCTTGATTCGCTTGCCGTCCCTCATAGGTGACCAACACATTCTCTGGAAATCTGATCCGTCAACATGGACACTTTGCTGTAAGCTCCTTCGTTTTCCTTCGTTTTGCCCTAAGAGAATCCGCCCAATAGCCTGTCCTCTCCTTGTCCCACATCACAGCAGCAAGTGCTGTCTCAGCATTGAGATACAAATTTGAGGAGCTATCCCCAGAAGACTTCATCAAGAAGACTTCAAATACAGCCATGCTTTTGCATGAGACAAGTCAAAGGTTTCTCATTACAACCATTACAACCATGCCAAATTCTACAGCCTATGTACCTACCCAGTCGCGGTCGAACGTGTTGCCCGGTTCCTCAAGACAAAGGCTCATTGACCGAGCCACCCCTCGACATCAACGACATCCTTGAATGGGTCTTTGGTAAACAGGACATTCTCCTCATGCTTCTGGGGAAGCTGATGTCAAGAGATTCACTGTTGTGACTAGTCTACATTGCTCCCCTTCTTCTTGGATCTGGTTCTGAGTCCTGTAGCACAATGTCTGCCTCTTTTACATACAATCATCTCAGCATCTTCATCTCCTGTGTGTTCTATCTCCATCTTCCACGCATTCCATCGTCACAGCAAAGACAACCACCTCATATCATGATCTTATCTCTCACAAGCTGATTGATCCATCGGGGTGCTGCAAACCCCTTTCACCATCCATGCCGGAGTTTGCTGAAGAAAAAGTTATTGACATTTTATGTTCTGATAGTACCGCCGAGATCGCGGCCAACGCGCCCAGATACCGTCGCAAGAGCTCAACATTCATCGACGGTATCCATGATGTTCCAGAGGACCAGGATATGGCTCCGGCCCAGTTGTACAGCACCATGTCTGGCCGGCTTTTCCACTCGGGCCGTATCGCTATTGTGATGGTTGGCCTTCCAGCTCGTGGAAAGACGTGAGTGCATCCTTTGATCGGAAGATACCTTAGCTGACATGAGCAGCCACATCTGTGTTTCTATGGCGCGTTACCTTGGCTGGTAAGTTCACTTTGGCAGGTCTTTTTGTACTTCTTGCTAAAGGAGCCTGTAGGCTGGGCGTGAAGACGCGCATCTTCCATCTGGGTGACTATCGCCGCGCAACCGTCGGCAAGGGTGGTATTGTCCCCGAGGACTACTTCTTTCCTGACGCATCTCCTCAATCTGTTATTCTCAGACAGAAGATCCTCAAGAAGTGTCGCGAAGATATCTACGCCTGGTTGAACCATGAGAATGGCCAAGTTGCCATCTACGACGCCGTGAACCCCACTGCTGCTGGTCGTCGTGCTTTGGCCAAGGAACTCGCAAAGCACGATGTGCAGGTAAGCTGTACAAGTCTTGCGTGCGTCAAGAAGTCCTTCTAATGCAAATAGACGCTCTTCATCGAGTCCTTCGTGGACGACGAGTCCATTCTTCGCGAGAATGCGCGTAACGTCAAGATCTCTTCGCCCGATGTGCGTACTCTCCTGGTCTTTCCTCTGCCTCGCTAACGTCCCCAGTTTGCCGGTATGGACCCCGATGAGGCGGCGAAACTCTACCTCCGCCGCATCGACATGAAGATTCCCGTCTTCGAGACCATGAACGAGAAGGAACTGAACTACATCAAGATGATCAATGCGGGTCGTAAATTCTTCTACAACAACGTGTCCTTCAACTACCTCTCCCACCGCATTGTCTTCTACCTCACAAATCTGCACATCAAGTCTCGCACCACCTACTTCGTTCGGGCCGGTGTCACCAACGAGGAGGATTCCTACAAAGCTGACGCTTCCCTCTCCGAGGAAGGCATTGCCTATGCGGCTCGCATGTCTGAGATCCTCCTTAAGCACCGCGAGCAGGAACACGCCGCCCTCGTCGAGAAAGGCGGCCCCTCGGTGCCCCTGCGGCCTCTCTCTGTCTGGACCTCCACACGCCGCCGCACCGTGCAGACGGCCGACTATCTCAAGAACAAGGGGTTCAAAGTCCGCCAGCGCTCGCAAATGAGTCAGATCAACCCTGGCGTGTGTGAAAAGATGTCGGAACGCGCGATCCGCCACATCTACCCCGAAGAAGTCGAGAAGCACGAGTTGGACCCTTACCACCACAGATACCCCCGCGCAGAGGTAATCTCCCTACATGGACATGTCTTTGATAGTTAGACTAACAATCGCTAGTCGTACCACGACCTCGCTGTCCGCCTCGAACCCATCATTCTCGAACTTGAGCGCGAGCAGTCCGACCTCCTCATCATCGCCCACGAATCCGTTCTGCGCGTGCTCTACGCCTACCTCATGCATTGCGCCACAATGGACATTCCCACGCTCAAGTTCCCCCGTGACGAGATCATTGAAATCATTCCCGCCGCCTACCAGAACGAAGCCAAGCGCATCCACATCCCCGGCATCGACCCCAAGATCACCCCTGGCTCGCCCGAGGACATCCGCATCCCCGTCCCCGGCAGCCTTCCCGCCAGCGGCAATATGTCGCCCGTACCGGGCCTTTCGTCTCCCCCCACCGAGGTTGTCGAGCGCCCCCCTGAGAAGGTCATCAACACGGCGGCGGAGATGGTCGCCGATCGGCAGAATGACGAGGACTAGATTGCAGTAGTTGGATGGATTTGCATTCCGCGCAGGGGAGGTGTGTGATCGAGAGAAGTGGATTTCTTGCTACTACCGTGATGGACCGTCCCACGGTCTCACTCTCGTCTAGCACAGGACACTGAAAGAGAAAGGTTATTATTACATGTCAAATCACCAATAGGTATAGGCCAGGCAGATAAATATTCATGAATGACGATCCAGTCATCAGAGTATCATTATTTCCAACATCTCAGACCGTGCATGAGGCCTACAGAGTCCCTCATTGTTCTTCGTGGTATCCCAAGTTTTTGACAACGCAACCAACGCCACCTTCTTCAGCTCACATTGCGCAATGCGCACATGCGCATCGTTCTGTCTTCCCATCTGTAGCCTATGAAACTCCTCGCTATTTTCAGGGCTGAAAGCTCTGCATCGATCCTAAGCCCAAAAAAGACATCCAAAGTCATTGACCGCTCATCAGCCGCCTGTCGCTCGCTCTGTCGTATCGTGCCTCTACATGACCGCGCATTCCCGCTCGGGTTCACCATCCTTGTTCTTCCTCTTCTCCTTAGACTTATCCCGTTTATGGCTGTGGTGCTTGTGATGGTGTTCGCTCGACTTCCTCTCCTTGTATTCCTTCGAATCCTTTGATTCCTTGGAGCCTTGTCTGTCGGATTCCGCAATCGGTGTTGGTTCCGCGGCGACATCCTCGATGAACTGCTCTTCCGGAACATGATCAGGCAAGGGGGCACTGACGGAAGATGCCAGCGCGTTGCCATTTGCAGGTTCCCGGAGGGGCTCCTTGCTTGTCCGCATGAGCCCTCCAAGTCGAGTCATAGTCAGACTGATTCGCCCCTCGCCTGCTTGGCTTGTTGGTCTGCTCTTGTTGTTCTTTGCCGTGAAACGGGCGGCAGCGCGGGACAAGCGCTGCGCCGTGGTCTCCTCGCCGTTTGGTGTGATCGCTGGCGATACGGCCTCAGGGGTAATGGCCGGCGTGCCCAAGGTAGAATCAGTGAAGGTCACACTTCCGCGGCGAGAGTCCTTGAAGCCCAGGCCATACGGCTCATCATCAAGACTCAGACGACTAGGCCTCTCAAGGTCTGACGAGAATCGAATGCTTGGTGCTTTTGGTGGTGAGATGGAGGTGTTCTCGAAATAGTCGCTCTTAGAGGAAGGAAATCCCGAGTTGATGCCCTCTTGCAGGTTTGGTGTCCCTGGCAAGTTGATGCTGACCTTGGACTCATTGTAAGAGGGCGGCTCTGTCTCGGTTTCCTCCGTTGAGGCAACTTCCACCATAGGCACGATCTGGTAAAATAGCAAATAGGGCATCTCGTCCTTCAGTGCTTGTCTAATGTCGTCGACATAGGTGACTCTGCTTTCGATATTCAAGTCGTCAAACTTGACCCATTGCGCTTCTTCATAATCGGGAGGAGGATCGAGGTCGTGCCGTCTGTTGTCTGTGAGAAGCTTCGGCGCTACTCGTGCGAATGAAATGTAGTGTCCGCTGTAAAGCGAGTCTCCCCGATGACAGACCACCGACTGGAGGACTAGCTTATATTCCATGCTAAAGCCATTAGGGTCCTCTTCGAGCTGCGTCTCGCCAGCAAGCATGAAGTGAGGCAGTCTCAGACTGTCTGGAATGTCGATGAAGGTATTTTGGCGCTGTGGTATCCCTGAGTTGGTCATCATGTACCGCTTCAGGCAAATTCCGACGACAGGCCGCTGGCTGAAGTTCATTGCCACCTCCATGTCGTTCTTGGGCTCCTTGTTCCCAGCGGCATGCCAGGGAATCAGTCTGAAAAACTGCCAGGCAGGGATTGTCACAGCCTTGACCACAGTTGAGCTTGTCCGTCGCGCCTTCTCCAACATGCTTGGCGTGTCGGATTCCGGCTTTTCCTTCTCTTCTAGTACGACTCGCTGGATTACACTAGTTGAGCGGTGCCTTGGGGTGGGACGCGAAGAACCGCTGGGGGATTCTGGTACGCCATTTGGTGCCTGGGAAGCTGTCCAGCGCCGTTCGAGAGCTGGCGACAACTGCAGAGGCGAAGTGCTCAAGACGTCTGCTGCCTCAAAGTCGGTGCTACCTTCTGGTGTCACCAGACGAATTGTGTTCTTGTTCGGTGTTGATTGTGCCAGCTCTTTCTTCTCCTCGTGGCTGTCCCTGAGCACATCCACTTGTGTATTGAAGTATTCCTCCAGACAGTCTTCCAACCTGATGCCTTTTCCATCGGGATCGGGGGGCACAGCCAGGTTCAGTAAACGTTCGTAGACTAGTTTGTGGTCGTCCTTGTCGTTCTTTCCCTGGTGGAACAAATCGACTTGTAGCTGTAATAGGGGGAGTTGAAGCGTCTCGGTAATGAAAGCAAAGGCTTCGGAGGTATCTTGTTGTTCGAGGAGCTTGGCGTCGCTCCAGCCGCAGTCGGCGAGAGCATCCTGAATGAGTTTTGTCTTCTACGGTTAGCAACAGGAAAGGGGGTCCAGGCGCAGAACCAGCTTACCATGTCTACGTGGATCATCTCTCCACTCCTCAGCATGTTCACCCATAGACGCAGTAGCGTGACCAATCTGCGTCTTGGCTCGTCCGTAAAGTCGTTCTTCAGCATGCACTCGAAGGCGTCCAGCTTAGCAAACATTGCAAACAGCAGAGAGTCGAGGTAGCAAGTGACGTTGCCTCTGTTCTCTGCACCGACCATCTCGACCTGGGGGTTGTAGTGTGTGATCTTGCCAGCCATTGCCTTGCACTGCATTTTGATAAATTCGACGGTCTTGTTGACGTCCTGCTTGGCGTATTCGCTATGCAAAGAGTCGCGAATGTGTTCTTCGGAGACGTCCGTAACGTTGCTATCGGCAAGCTTGGTCTTGATATCTTCGACCTGTCATCGCAATTAGGTCAAGTTCCTGTGGGTAAAATGCGACTTGGCGTACCTTTTGAGACTCCTTCTCCTTCAGCTCCTCGTCGGTTGGCAGTTGGGCGGTGTTGCTCTTGAAAAGGGATCTGAAGGCTTCGGCTGACAGCGGTCGGCTCTAGTGCGAGGGAACAAGCAATTAGCCTCCAGTCCTTCTCAACAGACGAAAACAGCATGTGAAGACACGATCATAGCGCCAGGGGTCGCAAACTCACCTTCTGTCCTGGCTCTGAGGATTTGCTCCTGCGATGGGCGCCATTCCTGTCCCGCAGGCTGAGGAACTTCTTGCCCTTCATGGTCGCGGGTTGTGTTGGTGGTGATGCAAAGCGAATTAGGGGTGATTGAAGCCGAAGAGGCTACTCAACGAAAGCAGTCACCTCAGCGGTCAGAAACCATGATCAGGTCGAAATCGCACCCCCATCAGCCAGCAGTACGGGAGTGGAGAGCAATAGTTGAGAGCGAAGAATGTATGCCAGGAGGTATGGAGGGGCTCTGGCGCGTCTCGGCGGGGCAGATTTTCGCAGGTCGCAAAAGACGGGGCTGGATGATCAGGCGTGGACTTTTCCATCTGTCAGCGTATTCTGTACGAGCGACGGGACGCTGCTGCATATGCTGCAAAAAGGGAAATTGCTGACCTGCAACGGTCGTATCTTGGTGTCAAAGGTCGCGAAGGGTCGTTCCTTAGGTAGAAAGAGTACGCAGAACTAAAAGGCAGGTCGTAAAAATACTGAGAGGAAATGTCGATGTGTTGTTGGTCGATACCGGGGGGACAGCTGAAGCAATTAAGGTAGCGAGCCCTTTACTCAACAGGCGCCGTAGTGTGCCAACCCGTTACAACCAGCAGGCGATGGGGACAAGGAGGAGGAGCCAGGGTCAGATGGTGGTTCGCGGATTTTGGCTCGAAAAATTCGGGGTCCAGGGTGGCCAGGTCTGGCAGGGCCGCAGGTGGCACCTTGCGGTGGAGATCGCCCAAAGGCCCAGGTACCGGCGCGGCAAAGCTTGGGCGGACCGGTACTTCCAACCGCTAGAAACTGTCCTCCTGGGCACCTGGTGCTCCTTGCGGACTTGCCCGTCAGTTGACTCGGGAGCCTGCCCGGGCTGGGAGTGCCTTGGTCGATAGCCCGCGACGGCAAGGCGGACTTTTCGCTGTTCGACCCGATGAACACAACCTGCTTCTACGTCCGTCAAGGAATGACCGTGACTCCGAGCAGCTTACCAACACCAACACGTGTGTACCTGTTCGTTGATCTAGGTAACTAGTTTGCAAGCGACTTGGCGGACGCTGTGGGTGGATGCAATAGGCAGAATAGAAGCCAGAATCTTCTGTCTGTCTCTCTGTCTCCCCGGGCTGCCGCGTTTCTTACATAGGACCTCGTCTAAACTATGAGTAAAAGTTGCCTGCCCCAACATCCAACATCCACGCGAGGTGTCATACGTAAGGCCTGTCCATCGTGGGAGCAACATCCGAAAAAGATCACGCCTCCCGAGTCCCTAAGATGAAAGTGGCAATTCATCCATCATATCAACCACAAGTCATTCGATCCCCTGTCCCAACTCTGGATAGCAGTCCGGACCCTTGGCGTGGCGGGGAAAAAGCACATCTTCGGCTGGACCAAAATCTCCTTAGGTCTCGCTCTTGTTTCGTGAGGCGTGTAAATGGATGCAATGATACCCTCTGGGACAAGTCTTGGCGCGTCCCTTACTTGCGCAGATCCGACCTCATGGCTCTGTGGCCCATGCTTCTAGTTTCAACAGCCCCCATCCCCCGTCTACGTTCTTGATTTGCAGAGAACAGACTTCGGAGGCCAGCTTGGTTGAAAGAACAGACGAATTGCGAAAATAGAATAGCTCGCCTGCATCACCTCTCCCCTCACTCAGCCCAGCAGCAAGCCCCAGGAGGCTCAACTGTAATACGCAACTCTAATCTACCTTACTACCCAGTGACAGGGCATGCCACGAAGCTCAACGTGTACAACGCGCCAAACTTGTCATTCAACGGGTTGCCCGTAGCCTAAAGTTCCGTGGCGTAATATGTCACTCACAAGCCCCGTGGTCGGTCGGTTAGACGTTGGATGTGACACTAAACTCGAACCCGACGAGAGATGCGCTCCGCGTAAACCGCATACGTTCGCATTCGTGTCCATCTTGGGGGTACAATCAGGCAACCTGCAGGGTAGCGCGCCGCCTCCCATCATCGAGATGTACAATGCTCATCTTCCCCATCCCTTCGTCCCATCTTTTCCCTTTCGCTGATCGTGCGTATGCGCGTCTTGACTGTTTGCTCTGCGTCCTCTGCCCACCTTGTCAGCTCGGTACGAGAAAGCCAAACACATCGCTTCCCGACTCTACGGCGCTTGATGACCCATGGGACTGGTGACTGTCAATTCAGCTGAGGGGCCGAATGATCGCTGCTACGTAATCCAGGGACGGCGTGAGCGACAGTATTCGCTCCAGAAAGGATCTTCGGCGCCTCGCTAGAATCCGATGGGCGCTGAAAGGAAACCCGATGGACGAAGGGCGGCGGCCTGATTGCAGATGACGACAGTACACCCACTCCCACGAGGTTTGAAGGCCCGAATGTCCGTCGCGCCCGGAAGCCCACTAGAGTTAGGTGCTGCTGGCCACGTTCGCTCCCGTCCGGTGATGTAACAAAGTCTCCTTCGGTGCGTTCGGTGTTAGTGCTGGCGAAGCAGGGATGCCTCAACGTCCAGGTGCGATAAGATAAGTCCGGGAAGATCCAGCCACATCTTATCCGGGGTCGTCCCGCAGCAAGGTCTCCAGCCACACGTGGCACGGACCTGTCTTGAACATTTCGAGATTGAAATTTCCAGCATCGCGACATGCCCTCGCAGACGTGGTGAGGCTTGCGACGGTACACACGACAGAACATGGCCACACTACGGGAAAGCTCCCGCTTAGGTCGGGCTATTTGCAGGCAGCGCTCGCCGTGGCAATTGACGCCTCTTGTCGCCCAGCGATGCGCCGCCACCAGCGCTTCAAAGGCCGCTCCCGAGCTGGCTGACCTTGAACCCGCTTCGTCCATGGGTGTCCCAGGACCAGACGAGGCCGCCGTGAAGGCATACGATACTGCGAAGCGCATCTCCGAGAGGCCACAACAGCTTCCCGGAAAGAGGTATGTCCCTCTATGCGAAAGATCAACGCACAAGCAGAGCACTGACATGCCATCAACAGATACCAATTCCACCCCCCAAAGTACGACCGCGGCCCGCTGCACCCCGTTCAGTCACCACCCTCTACCGACCCCACGGCACGAGACTTCGTTCCCGGACCCTTCAACATTCCCCGTCTGCGCCAGACCTACGAGTCCACCGTCGCCTCCGACTTGTTGACGATGACCTACCTCCACAAGCCCCCGGGAACCCCAGACCGTCCGGAACGCGAGCGACTACGTGAGTGGGACGACTCCTCGCCGTACAACATCAACCGTCCCCGCCGCGGTCCCAGAGGAGGAAGCAAGCTGGACCTTCTCGAGAAGAACGTCACCTGGCGGAACATCCCCCAGATCAAGGCCGTCTCGCTGCACGCCTTCATGCCCGGCAGCAAGATGCCCCACGGCACCCTCAACGTCGCGCGGTCCGTCATCCAATCCATCAGCGGCTCCTGCCCCGAGATCACTGAGGTCACAACCAACGTCGTCCAGTGGAAGATCCGCAAGGGCGACAAGGCCGGTGTCAAGACCACTATTTACGGCAACCAGGCCCTGGAGTTCCTTGACAAGCTCATCAACCTTGTCCTGCCCAAGATCAAGGACTGGCCCGGTGTCGAGGCCACCACTGGTGACGCCAACGGCAACCTCTCTCTCGGTCTGAAACCTGATGACCTTGCGTGGTTCCCCGAGCTCCAAATCAACTATGACATGTACCCCGCCAGAGTGAGTTAATACCGCTGCCTACGATGTATGATCTCTTTTTTTGCTGACGACACTTTCAAGCTCATTCCAGGTTGCCATATTCACATCCAAACGACCGCCACGTCAAACCGACAGGCTAGGCTATTGCTCCAGGCCCTTGGTCTTCCGTTCCATGGAAAGTTCAGGGATTGAGTGGCGGTTGTGCAAGGGTGTGTCCAAATAAAACAAAAATGTACAATACCAAATGACTAGAAATCTTGTAAACGAACTGTACCAACAAAAAGGTCACTCCCAAACACGTTAACGACAGCGTCATCTGGATGAAATTACTTCCATTTCGCAATCGTGAATCTCATTTACGAAGTAGTGATCATCTAAGCCCATGTTCCCATTCTTTTTGGTCGTCCCGTACGTCAGAATCCCCCATGTCGTACCGCCCAAAACGCCGTCCATGCAAGTTCATAACGAATCCTCTAATGTCATCTCTCTATGCCGTAATCTTGGCTCTAAGCCCATCCATGACTTTGTCAATCTCATCCATGTTGACGGCCTCAACCTTGCCAGAAGAGTGAAGGCCCTTCTTGGCCAGCTCGTCCGTGAAAAGGTCCATGGCGGGCTGGTAATTCCTCACAGCAGAGCTGAGGGCGTAGAGTGCCTTCCTCCTCACGGCCTCCTTCTCGCCGTCCTTGGTAGCTATCGACACAAGGGTGGGGATACCAGCGTCGCCCATGGCGAGCAGGCGCTCCTGGCTGGGCTCGTTGTTCTGAACGGCGGTGCCAATGCACCAGGCGGCCATGCGGCGCATGTCGTGCTCGTCGTGGGTGAGGCAGCTGAGCAGAGGTGACCACAGAGCGAGGTTGGCCATGTTGTTGGCGTTGTCGAGGTTCTCGATGAGCTGCTCAAAATTGTCAAAGGCGACAAGCTTGTTGTCGAGGGTCATCTCTGGGTCGGTCGAAGTGATGGCTTCCATGGAGGCCTTCATGAGGTCAGCATCGCTGGGGCCGCCGCCGAAAAGGGCCGCGATAGCCTCGGGGTTCAGGTTGCTGGCGGGGGCCCGGGCGGCCTGCTCGTTCTGACCGGTTTCACCGTTTTGGCCCCCGTTCTCTTGATTCTCGATACTCCATTTGAGGAGCTCGTTCAGGTTTCTATCCATGATGCAAGTTGTAGTAGATTGCTTTTGCTTGTGAAGGTTTGATTTTAACGAATGCGTCAGATGTTCCGTGACACGCTTTTGTGAGTTGTCGAGTTGAAATGGTTTCCGCAGGGGTATATGAGTTGATGTTGTTGAATCACATCAAGATTCAAGAACGTTCATCGACTTTCACTGAGAATCTCATCAACACCTCAAAAAGTTCTCCATAACTCAGGGCCCTGGTCACTGCTCTGACTGGCTGCACTGACAGTTGCCCTTTTCTGGAACCTTCAGGAAGGTTTCTTGTCTCAAAACGGCTTAGCGCAGATCTCACGTGAGAGCCCTGATCAGGGCCAGCTCAGTGCACGTTTATGCAGATTGGCGGTTGAAACTTGGGCAGAAAACACACGTTGACCGCAGCGTTCCGACCCATTGCCAACACTTCCTGCCCAAGATCGGATCATTAAGGATGCTGAGTTGGCAATTCCCGCCTGCCAGTCATAATTGAGGGTGTATCGTAACTCTGGAGTCCCTAATTCCGTGCCGTTGAGGCATGAGTGATGAGTTGCTCATGCTCTACGGTGGTTGGTGAAGAACCAAAAAAAGTTCCTGCCCCACCATTGAGAATGAGGTGCCCCTCATTGCCGCTTTAAGAGATGAGGGAGCTTCCCTGAGCTAGCGGCGTGCGGCTTGCTGATAGCTGAGTAGTGAACGATGAAGTCACTCGAGTTCGCAGCGAGAAGCAACTCTGTTGGTTACGTTGCATCCAATTGCGTTTCTAACGTCAGACTTGACTCCTTCAGCCTTGCATCTCAGCCAGAGCCAATTCTCTGGTTCTCACTTGATCGGTGTGTAATGCTCCGGTTGCGACAACAGACTGTTCATGCGTTCCCCCGTACGCAGAACGAAGATGACAGGTTGCGATCTGGACTAAGTGCCCGATCAACGGAGACACCGCCCGGCAGCCCGAAGCTCAGCCACACTGGAAACGTAGTGTGTTCCTCGCACCGTTTCTTGTTGGGAATCCCACACGAGGGTCGAAACGCTGGATAGCTGCACATGCGTCTTGAAGGCGAGAGCGAGCTGGACATCAATGAGGATGCGATAGGGGGATGCGAGGCTGGTTGCCAGGCCACTCACTGGCTTGCAGCCGGCTACCTTTGACCCCAGCCGTCGTTCCCGCAAAAGTTTCCCATACGCGGGTCTTCAATTTGGACCGTGAGAGCCGCGTTGACACCCCCTGGGAGTACGGCCCTTGCAGATGGCAGGGCCGTCGGTGTCGGTGTCGGCGCCTATGTAGGTACCTAGATTGCGATGTGCTTCTTACCGTCTTTGCGCCGGGCATCCGTCAATCCACGCAGAGGAAAGGAGAAGCAACTGTTCATGAGACCAAAATAGAAGATGGGAGATGCCTGCTTGGCGCCATCGCCCAAACTCTCTTCTTGCTGACGGGAGAGATGACGTACGACTCGGGCACCGGGAGACGGAAGGATGCTTTTCGTTCACATGTGGTTTGCTGGCCGCTGGCGCACATCCGCCCGCTGCGGCCGTCGTCGAGCATGAACCAAGCCGCGGCGGCGGCGGGCGGGAATCTTGTTGAGTCTCACGTGGACATCGGGGAACAGGAACAAGAGCGGCCCCCGTTCCACAGTGAGAGAGCGAGCGAGCAAGTAGACGGGACGGTCACGGATCCGCGATGCTGTGCCGCCACCTATCCACGACTCCCTGGCAGGCCTCGCGCTGGGGAGATGGCCTTGGCCAAGCTGCTCCCATGCTCCCATGCTCAGGCTTGGGTGAACCTTGCATTTTTTATCAGGCGGTAGCGTGCGTGAAGGCGGTCGGTGTGGGGAGGCCCTTGAAGATATTGGATACGCCACAGTCGCCGGGAGGCAACGGCACTGTAGATGGGTCGTGGCTTGGGCGGTCTCGATTGGCCCGTGGTGGTGGTTGTGGCCGTGGAGGTGAGCGTGCGTCTGTGTCTGTCTCCCGCCTCTCTCTCACCGTCGGTTTCAAGCTGCCTGGACAGCCAGCCAGGTACGGATGGCGAGGGTGACGAATGCTCCTTGCCGCCAGCGGCATAAATGCGCTGCCTGGGCGTCTAAGTCGCTACCTGGATAAGACGAAGGGCTATGATGGCTGTTGACAGCAAAGACCATCTCGGATAGGTAGAAGCGTGATCACGGGCAGCCCGAATAAAGAGAACTGTGCGGATAGAAAAGTGAAGGGTGCTGCGCAGTCAAAAAGAGGTGCAATACGACAGCTAATTCCAGGCCAAGTCTCGACCTCGAACATCACCAACTTCGTCTTGCCCTGCAGCAACTTGCAGCGCATCTTCCTCCTCCCCCAGCCACCAGCAATCCCAATCCCTCCAGCGGCCCAGGCCGGACGAAAAGGACACAACAGACCAGATACCTCGGACATTGCGGCTAGTCTCACCAAATTGAAAGGTACCATCGCAACTTAACTGTCCCCATCCAGCGGCGAATTGCTCCTGCCACCGCCTGCCTTCGCTCCCGTACCCCACCACACTACTTGCCCAATCCAAGCACTGAGCAGCGAGAGTAGCAAGCACGGGCCTCATTTAGCCCTTAAAGCGGCAACGCAGTCCCCCGAGGGAACTGCCACTTTCTGCCACTTGTACAGTGTCGCCTTTTGCTCATCATTGCTGAGGTGTGCTGCACCTGCTTCCCGCTCGCCTGCCTCTACCCAGAAATCCACCTTTGCCCGCCCAGCAGCCCCCCATTCGCTCTCTCACAAGTCGGGTTAGTAGGTCTCCTTCTGACATCCACGCCAGCGCACGACCGCCAGCCAACGAGGCCTCAGCAGCACCGCTCCGCGCACCGCTACCGCTTCCACGTCCCAGGCCTTCGCTCTCACCGCACACCACTCACACTGTGCTGGCCATTCCCACTCTTCTCCTTCTTCCCCCCTCCTCCACCCAAAATCGACTACCTCTCATCTTCCCGTAACCTTTCCCACTTTCGACCTCACCACCCATCGACGTGCTCTCCCCAAGTTCTCTGCCATCCGCTCAGGACTTTGTCAGTTCCATCTCGCTCGCACGATTCCGGAATCGAGTGAGCTTTTCTTGTTACTATCTTCTACTCTATTTCCCACGTCTTAACGACCACATAATTCACAATGGAAGGTACGTGACGCCATCTCCTTTGCCAACTCGACAGCCTTCCGAATCGATCGATGCCTTCGCCGCCGGCTCTCGTCGCGATGCTCGGCATCCCTCGTCCTGCGTCTGGCTCCAGGACATGATCGCTGACTTGTTTCCGCATCACAGAGGAGGTTGCTGCCCTCGTTATCGACAATGGGTAAGCTATCCCCGCCGTCTCACCGACCATTCCGCCTCTCGGGTTTCGTTGGGATCTGGCCAACGTCAGCTCTCCCGATAAACCCATTGGCTCTCCATCCATCGATTCCATATCCATACCGATGAATTTGAATCTGACTAGAGCCTAGTTCGGGTATGTGCAAGGCCGGTTTCGCCGGTGACGATGCGCCCAGAGCTGTCTTCCGTAAGTGCTCCCATCCGCAGACCGCAATCCGCCTCTTCAGGGGGAACTCAGATTTGCGGTCATCAATCGGCGTGTGCTGTCGATGCTGACCACCACGTAGCCTCCATCGTCGGTCGCCCTCGCCACCATGGGTATGTCTGCTTCTCGCCCTCGCTGCGGTAATTTCCGCCGTCCGCGCCGCGATCTAACATGTGAATCAGTATCATGATTGGTATGGGCCAGAAGGACTCGTACGTCGGTGATGAGGCACAGTCGAAGCGTGGTATCCTGACGCTCCGCTACCCCATCGAGCACGGTGTCGTCACCAACTGGGACGACATGGAGAAGATTTGGCACCACACCTTCTACAACGAGCTCCGTGTCGCCCCCGAGGAGCACCCCGTCCTCTTGACTGAGGCTCCCATCAACCCCAAGTCCAACAGAGAGAAGATGACCCAGATCGTCTTCGAGACCTTCAACGCCCCCGCGTTCTACGTCTCTATCCAGGCCGTCCTGTCTCTGTACGCCTCCGGTCGTACCACCGGTATCGTCCT